GCAAATCTTATCATCTTGCATACGTACAAGATACTACTAAAAAATATTAGCTTTTCTAAATAGAGTGCAAGGTAACCACATAGATGAAATTAAATTTACTGATACTGAAATTAATAAAGAAAAGTAATTTGAATCTAACAAATCATTATGATTAAATTCGGCAATATTTGCTGTCGCCTGTAACCAAATACATACACTAAAAATCCTGTCTTTAATTGTTAATAACTCCCAATTAACTAGATCATCGGTATAAATTACACTGATATCTACGATCTTGTATTGAATTATAAAAGACAATTATTAAAAGTGCAGCCAAGTTTTCTGACGCCTCAAGATCAAAATAATAAGTTTAATAAGTTAAATAGAAATCTAAATTTTTATCCTCTTTCCAGACATGAATGTAAAGTTAAAGTTCGAGATTGGTTATTGTCCCTTGATTATAGTAAAACAGAAAATATAATTTGTAAAAATGTGTGTAAGTAATGTATGTCGTATAATAAAAGTATAATAAAATTATAAAATTATAAAATTTTAAAATTATGAAATTAAAAATAGCAATCTTTGTTTAAAGCATATATTTATTCATTATAGGTTATAATGAATAAAATATATATTCTGTATGAAATTATATAATAATATATTCTATATATACATATATGTGTGTATATGTATATATGTATGTATATATATATATATATATATATATATATATATATATATATATATATATATATATGTATGTCTATATAATAATGAAATTATATAATAATATATTCTATATATACATATATGTGTGTGTATGTATATGTATATATGTATGTATGTATATATGTATGTCTATGAGTATGTGTATGTATATATATTACAAATTGCAAACTAATTTTAATATACCTACGATTATATAAAATATAATAACGACTAAAGAGTCGCATTAAGTTCTAGTTTATGTTTCGTTGTAAATAAATACATTCAAATAGCTAAACAGTTACTTAAAAATGTTAAGCTTAGTTACTTAATTAATTCTTAAGATATATATAATTCTTAAGATACTGTTGTCACACGACTGGGAGAGGCCGCTGATCCCTAAGATACAGACTTGTCTAGTTTGGGGATCAGAGTCTTCACTTTATTATTGTACTTTTATTTAAATAAATGATTATTATTATTATTATTATTATAATATAGTAATCACTTTTGAATTTTTTACAAACTTTCATACTTTACGAATATGAAACTATTCAAATAAATAATTGAAGTGTGTTTGTAACGTCAAAATAACAGATTTTTACTAAATATATATAATATAAAAAAATTACAATTTTGTCTGTCTGTTATGTGGTTACTAGCGCGACTGTGGATCATTATTTTGGTCCTGGGTTTGAATCCCGGATCATGCCAAGTACAGTTATTGGATTAATTTGGGTATAATGAGTGTTCTAGGAACCACCCTGATAGTCGTATTACAGCCCTCTCAATCAAGCACTTAGATTTTTGGGTTTTCTCGTCGTACGTTTTCTTATAGAAAAGGGGGCAAACGAGCATGCGGGTCACGTGATGGTAAGTGACTACTGCCGCCCATGAACAACCGCAACACCAGGGGAATAGCAGGTGCATTGCTAGCCTTTTAGAAAGGAGTAAGCTTTTTTCTTGAAGGTCCCTAAGTCGTATTGGTCCGGAAAAATCGCCGGTGCTAAACAATTCAACAGAGAAGTTGTACGAGGAAAAAACTTTTTTTTTCTTTAAAAATCTCCTAGTAAAACACACAGTGGTGGCCCGTCAAACATTCAGATGGTGAGGATAGTATCGTGAATTTTGACGCGATGTGAGTTCATGAAATATGGCGGCTGAGATTAAACCGAACCTCAGAGCACTCCCCGAGGTAGATGCGATAGAAAATGCAAAGGGATGCAACATCCCTACGCAGTGCCAGTCAATCGATCCGATCAGAAAATATTCGGACGTCGACGACTTGAACCGCTCTACGCTGGATGCGGTCAAGTGGAAGGAGCTGACACTGGCGTGCCCCGGCCCAGAGATGAGCGGCCGAATTTGCGCTTTGTAAAGTTGCAAGCGATGTGCCGACGTAAAATACTGCCCCGATCTGCTGAGCACGCCAAGCTTTTTAGAGGCGAATTTGGCCTTCCCTTCCAAGTGACCACAAAACTACACACTATTGGATATGTCGACGCCGAGGATTCGGATGCTAGCTGAGGCTGCAAGGGGAGTGCCTTAAAACTGAGGAGATACGACAAAGGGGTTCTTTTTAGCGGTATACGTGCAAACTTGCGTCTTCTGGGGATGGAACTGGACTAGATTTAACCGCTCTCAATCCGAGACTTTGTTCAGCAAAGAATCGACATCAAACACAAGTTTGTTCCGGTACTCGGAGACGTTTTCCCGGGAAATATTGGCACGACGGCTGAGAAATATTGCATCACCAGTGCTGGCATTGTTACCAGTTTGCAACATATCATTGATATGCAGTAGAAACAGCGTTTGTGATAGCACGCGGCCTTGTGGAACACCAGCGTTAATAGGCTTGTAATCAGAGCATGCACCGTCTACTACGACCTTGATGCTCCGATCAGTAAGGAAATTGGTGATCCAATTGCACAATTTCTCGGGAAGCCTAAAGGAAGGGAGCTTCGAAAGAAGCGCTTTATGCCAGACCCGATCGAAGGCCTTTGCTATGACCAAATTAACGGCCAATGCCTACCCCTTGAACTCTACTGCCTCCGCTCATCTATGAGTTAGATAGACCAGAAGATCACCAGCTGATCAACCCTGACGAATAGTGTTTGTAATGGATTCCATTATTTTGGAGAACAAGGAGGTGATGGCGATAAGCCTGTACTTGGACGGGTCCGAGCGATCGCCTTTTTTAGGGATCGGGTGAACCAAAGCTGTCTCCCATGAATTTGGGATAACGCCTTAGGAGTAGAAGTATCGGAAAAGACGCGTTAATACCGGTGCCAACTTCGGAGCACACGTCTTCAGAACAATGGAAGGGACTCCATCAGGCCCACGCGACTTGTTGACGACCAGGGAGAGGAGTGATTTGTAAACCGAGCGCTGTGTAAGCCGCACATCTGGCATGGAGCACTTAAACCGCGGGATGGTCGACGGTGTGTTCCTCTGTCATCGAGAGTCGAGTTGGACGCAAAAAGAGAGATTAACAGATCGGCTTTCTCCTTTGCGGCATGGACTCAGTGAGTCACCCTCTCTTTGCAGAGGTGGCTGACAGAAGTTCCCTTGGACAGCAAGAGACCAGAATGCACGGGAAGGCGAACTAGCGTCTCACTAACTCCGCCGATGTGCTTTGACCTTGCCTTGGCAATGAATTTTGAAGAACCTGGAGGCGGAATTATACTTCTTTTGAGAGTGCTGGTGTTTACATCCCGAGACATCAACGTATCGGCATGTAAAGGTGTCGTCAGCCCAGGTCTAGTAGCACTCCTGCTTATAGTGTGATGCTATGCTAGGCAAAGTAGCTGTGCAACCATATGCCAAGGCAAAGTCATAAACAAACTTCCCCATATGATCGGTTAAATGTGGAACCCCCCCCCCCCCCCCCCCCAGTATACCACAATACGAGGGACAGCTTGAGCACACACGCTCAGGAACAGTAGGGTAGCTTGGACGTGGGTGTTCAGCGAAGGATTCTCCGTCACCAGGATGCTGGTACCCGCCTGCGGTAGTTTTTTATTTGATTCCGCTACCATACTTTAAGAGGGGGGGGGGGATTGGGCCTCCGACCACCTACACTTACCAAGCAAAACGCAGAAGTAAACTAATTCTACTTCACGCTGGTATTCTGTGAGGTCGTGGTACTACCCTGATACAACAAAATTTAAAAAAATAATTTATTCTTGTGTAAACAACCGATACACAAGAATAATTTATTTAATTATTTTCTTCGTTATAAGACAAGTCCAGTCTTAACAAATAAACCAAACACAACAACTGCCTTTCTTTCTTCAAAACTTCTCTAATACTTTCACGTTTTTCGTAAACGCCAAACTCCCACTACACACCCTGATCGCGAATGAAAAAACGTATCGCTTAAAGGTAGATAATAGATGATAAGTATGCCCGCATGCGGCGATGCCGCATAAGTACCTCACAACGTGAATCTACCTGTCCTATTCATAAGTACCTTTACGTTTTATGGAATTAACCGGTTAATTTGGGTGTTAAAACCATCAAGTAACCGGTAACCTTTATCATTTAGGTTTAATAAAAACCGGTTAACTTTTTACCGGTAATTGAAGGAGCAATAAATTTACCGGTAATTAATCGAAATTAACCGCTCTTTTTAAACCGGTTCCGAGCCCTGGTTTTGACTTGATTTTGATTTGATTTGACGAGGAGTTTTAGCGGGAACTTGACCGGCGGCGGTTTGCTGCTCCTGTATTATAGTTTAAATAATAGTTTGAAGTGGAATTTCATATGTAAAAGTGGTGCGATTTTATGTATTAACTTTCTACGCATGTGAACTATTAGTGGAAACGGTGAAAAAAGTTCTGATGGTGATGGATTCTCAAGATAAGCTGTTTGTTTGCATAGGCGCCTTTAGATACCATTGCCAACTGTCAGCTATCTACTGGCTCAAGTTGCCGTCAAAATCTCCCAAGGGCTGCACAATGTGAAGCATCAACATATTGTGAAGCAGTGAAATTCTATATACTCAAAATAAAAAAGACAAGGCCGTATTGCGTAGTTCCTTTGCCTGCTCTTTCGAGCAAATAATAGAAACAACAACAATAGATTTGACTTGTATGTACCTTGCTACATTTATATTTATCTATGGTATGTACAAGAATTTGACGTTTGACGATGAATGATGATGATTTGATCATTTGATTGAATATTACACAGTTACTTTTAAGTTTATATTGTAGTCTTAATGCTTCTGTACCTAAAAGTAATTTTAACATCTTAGAAATATCTTTACACTGTACATACATAGTTTAATAAAAATATATTGATTACCTCTAAAAATGCCCCATAGTCACTGTAATCACGCAAATCACGATCACGGCCATGGAAGCCCTGAAGAAATCGGTATACAGTACAACCTATTTGAGAAAATCGATAAAGAGAATCTTCAATGTCTTAATGAAAGTGTTGACGGCTCAGGGCAAACAGTGTTTAAACCCTGGGACAAGAGGCTAGATCACTCCCAAGTTAGTATTTTTTTATTATAGCATTTGCTTAGTTTTGATGCCATTATAAAGGTAGTAGGTTGAGAAGTAGTTATAAAATAAGTAAATTTATATAGTACAGATACACATAAGGATAATATTTTACAACAATCTTAATCATTCGTCCTGCTTTTAATAATTATTGATTTACATAATATATGCCATGGTACCTCAGGGGCTAAGTGATGTCTGTAAATTTCACCTAGTGCAAATAACCTGGCTTAAACACTACCCGTGGTGCAGGTGCTAATAAAAATGTAAATTTCACTTTTAAGTGCTGATACACTTGGTAGTGGAGAATCATGTATGAAAACCAGCATTTTTGAGGAAAGAAATTTTTCCAAAGATGTGAAGTCTGCTACTCTGCTATGATGTATTGGAGTAGAGCGGCAGACTGACTAACCTCTCAGAAATGATTAGAAGCCTATAGCTAGCTGATAGATTATAGCTGTGGGACATATATATGCATCCTGCCTGTATTGGCATACGGAAGTGAAACATGGGCTTTAACAAGAAACATATCAAACAAACTCTCCATATGCCAACATGCCATGGAAAGGAGTATGGTTGGGATCAAAAGAATGGACAGAATAAGAAATAGCAGCATCAGAAACAAAACTAAGGTCCAGGATATAACTCTAAAAATAAGAAGACAAAAATGGAAATGGACAGGCCACTTGAAAATATTAACACAATGGTACCCAAGGGATGGAAAAAGAAGGAGCGGTAGACCACAGAGAAGGTGGGATGACAATATCAGACAAGTCGCAGGAATTACATGGGGTAGAGTGGCCATAGAAAGGCCAGAATGGAGAAGATTGGAGGAGGCCTTTGCCACCTGGCAAATGGACACACAAAAATGGAACAAAAGAAAAATATATGAATAACAAAGAAATACTATTTTTTTGTCCAATTAAAGGCTTATTATTATTATTATATATAGAGCATATTAGCACATAGACAGGTCTAAGTGAGCAACTTGAAGAGTTAGGCTTAGTATCAAGTCGCCTGAATTTGAGGAGTCTGTCAAACAGCCACATAGGGAACTTGTCTGAAGAACCCCCATGCAATTTTAACTGCCGGAACTGTGTAGAAATATTTAAAATAGTTTTCTAAATATATTTGTATCATCATTATCATTACAGCCCTTCACAAGTCCACTGCTGAACATAGGCCTCCCCCAAGGAATGCCACAAATTTTGTACATAATTATATAATAAATAAATTTTGCCACAAAATTTGGTAATGACAAATGAGAAAGATCTTATCTCAGGCGTTACCAACTCAGCTCCAATTGGTAAAAGTGACCACTATGTAATTGAATTTCAAATTCAATACCTCATCTGAAACCCTTCAGTGCAAGGATTATTTAGATGTGCTTTACATAAAATAAACTATGAGATTGTTAATGCAGAGCTCAAAAACACGCTATGTAATCATGACTGGAGTAAATCAGTAGATGACCAGTGGATGGCCCTGAAGGATGAAGTGGAAATTGTTTTAGACCGTCATACTCCTCTCAATATGGTTAGAAAAAAGAAAAATATAAATAAACCCTGGATAAATGCTTCCATTGTTGAATTGACAAAACAGAAAAAGATTCTATGATTATATGTAGCAGACAAGATATAAGGCCTACAGAGACTGCAATAACAGGTGTGTTAGTGAAGCAAGAAGACTTAGAAGTCTTTACAAAGCTAAGATTGTCGAGAGTGGAAACAAACCCTTCTATGCTCACCTACGCAGTTGCATGGCTTCTAAAGTTGATCTGCCGCCTGTGGTACGTGATGAACTTGGCAATCTTGTGGTTGAAAGGTCTAAAATTGCCGAAGCGTTTGCTTGTGAATTTGAGAAAGCATACTCATTGGAACCTGACCTTAATAATATCTCCATACCTATACCAAGATTTAAAAACTCCATTGATGACATCCATTTCACATCACAGGATGTGCTTATGGTTCTCAAGTCCCTAAATGTAAACTCTGCTCCTGGGCCTGATAATGTCCCTGGAGTATTTCTCCAATCATGCGCTGAAACCATCACACCTGTCTTGGTCAATATTATGAATGAATCATATGCTTCAGGTGAGGTACCAAAAGACTGGAGACATGCTATAGTAACACCTGTTTTTAAAAATAGTGATAAATTAGATCCAGCTAATTACAGGCCAATCAGCTTAGCTAGTATTGTTTGCAAATGTATGGTGAAGATTATATGTAAAAAAGTTCCTAGCAGACAAGAAAATTATTGGGATAACCAGCATGGCTTTGTGGAACGGCGCTTGATTTTTTTTTGTAGAAGAGGGGCAAATGAGCATACGGCTCACCTGATGGTAAGTGACTACCGCCGCCCATGAACAACCGCAACACCAGGGGAATTGCAGACGTGTTGCCGGCCTTTTAGAAAGGTGTAAGCTCTCTTCTTGAAGGTTCCTAAGTCGTATCGGTCCGGAAAATTTGCTTGTGGTAATTGATTCCACAAGGAAGTTGTGCGAGGGAGAAAACTTCTAAATCGCACAGTGGTGGACCGCCAATTATCCAGATGGTATGGATGGTAACGCGAGTTTTGTCGCGATGTGCGATTGTGAAATTGAGCGGCTGGAATTAGTCCGAACAATTCCTCAGAACACTCCCCGTGATAGATGCGATAAAATACGCAAAGAGATGCAATATCTCTACGCAGTGCCAGTGTATCGAGCCAATCAGAAAGAACTCGATCGTCGACGATTCGAACCGCTGTGCGCTGGATGCGGTAAAGTGGAAGGAGCTGGCACTGGGGTGTCCCGGCCCAGAAATGAGAACAGTATTCAATGTGAGGCCGAACTTGCGCTTTGTAAAGTTGCAAGCGATGTGCCGGCATGAAATACTGTCTCGCTCTGCTGAGCACGCCAAGCTTTTAGAGGCCAATTTGGCCTTCCCTTCCAAGTGACCACGAAACTGCACACAATTCGATATGTCGATGCCAAGGATTCCGATACTAGCTGAGGAAGCAAGGGGAGTGCCTTGAAACTGAGGAGATACGACAAAGGGGTTCTTTTTAGCGGTAAACGCGCAAACTTGTGTCTTCTGGAGATTGAACTGGACTAGATTTAGTCGACCCCAATCCGAGACTTTGTTAAGCAAAGACTCGACTTCAGACACAAGTTTATCCCGGTACTCGGCGACGTTTTCCCGAGAAATATTGGCACGGCCGGTATATAAGGCATCACCAGTGCTGTCGTCCGCATAGCAATGAATTCTACCAGTTAGCAACATATCACTAATATGCAGGAGAAACAGCGCTGGTGACAGTACGCGGCCTTGTGGAACACCAGCGTTGATAGGCTTGAAATCAGAGCATGCACCGTCTACTACGACCTTGATGCTCCGATCAGCAAGGAAACTGGTGATCGATTTGCACAATTTCTCGGGAAGCCCATAGGAAGGTGGCTTCGAAAGAAGCGCTTTGTGCCAGATCCGATCGAAGGCCTTCGCTATGTCCAAACTAACGGCCAATGCCTCCCCCATGGACTCTACTGCCTCCGCCCATCTATGAGTCAGATAGACTAGAGGATCACCAGCTGATCGACCCCGACGAAAACCGTATTGGCGGTCACTAATCAGCTGGTGATCCTCAAGGTACCTCATGAGCTGGCAGTTTATAGTGGATTCCATTAATTTGGAGAACAAGGAGGTGATGGCGATAGGCCTATAGTTGGACGGGTCTGAGCGGTTGCCTTTTTTGGGGATCGGGTGGACCAAAGCTGTCTTCCATGAATTCGGGACTACGCCTTGGGAGTCGGGAATGAGTAACGCGTCTTTTCCGGTACTCCTGTACTGGAAAAGACGCGTTAAAACCGGTGCCAACTCCGGAGCACACGTTTTCAGCACAATGGAAGGGACTCCATCGGGCCCACTCGACTTGCTGACGGTGTCGGCGGTGTGTTCCCCCCGTCATCTAGAGTCGAGTTGGACGCAAAGAGAGAACTCAACAGATCGGCTTTCTCCTTTGCGGCATGGGCCAGTGAGTCGTCCTCTCTGTGCAGATATGGAAGAGATGGCTGACAGAGGTTCCCTTGGACAGCCTTGGCGAGAGGCGAACTAGCTTCTCGCCAATTCTGCCGATGTGCTCAGACCTTGCCTTGGCAATGACGCTTTTGAAGGACCTGGAGGTGGAATTATACTTCTTTTTAAGTGCGCTGGTGTTTACATCCCGAGACGTTGATGCGTCAGCCCAGGCCCGGTAGCACTCCTGCTTATAGCGTGATGCTATTTTACAGGAGCGACCAAACCATGGCTGGTATCTGCCTCCGATGGGCACCACAGAGGGTGGAATAAAAATTTCCATACCCTGAAGTACCACAACAGCAACAGAATCGGCAACAACGCTGGGATCTTCCAGCGAGAAGCAAACCCGCCCCCAAAGGTAGGATGCAAAAAAAGACCGCATCCCGTCCCATAGTTAGTAGTAGCTGACCTATAGTGCCAAACACGGCGGCAAGCTGCAGATCGCAACTGCGATTGGAGCGTGAGTGGCACCGTACTCCGGATCAGACAATGGTCCGAAGAGCCCAGAGGGGCATCGACGGAGACCTGATATCCGTCCAGATGAGAGGTCAGCAGAAGGTCCAACAAGAAATGTACATGGTCTTCCACATCTGGGATCCGCGTAGGCGAAGTAGCGAGTTGTGTTAGACCATATGCTAAAGCAAAGTCGTAGACAGATCTACCCGCATGATCGGTTAAACGAGAATCAAGCCATTCAGCGAGGTAGGCGTTAAAATCACGATCTCTGCGGATGGGACCTGTTGTAGCACGGAGTCTGCAGCCATTTGGACGTGGTCGATGAGTCGGTCTGTGTCGGCATTGCCGCTATGGGACCTATAGAGGCGCAGGGATGGTCGTCGCTGTCTACGCGCAGGATGGACAGGTCCGTACCTTCAAGACTGCCGAGGCGTGGAAAACAGATGTTCTCTCTGACGTATACGCAAACTCCAGCCCGGGGCACAAAGGAGTGTTCCAATTTGTATACCGGGTAAGGAGAGATATGAAGAATCAGCCGGAGAGGACACCTGAGTCTCGGTTAAAAAGATCAAGGCCGGCTTCGCCGTCTCTAGATGGTAATGGACAGCGTTAAGGTTGGAATGAAGTCCCCTGATGTTGCAACCGCAGTATTTTTATCGTTATTTTGCTGTTATCAGAAAGATGCTGGTGCCCATCTTCTGCCTCAATTTCCCTCTGTCGCCTCTTACGACACCCACGGGAAGATATGGGGTAGTGGGTACCCGCCACTACATATATTCGTAAATCACTAATTAATACATGAAATGGAACTTAAATTACACAACATTTTTACGTTTTTTTTTTACTAGTTGCATCTGTTAAAATGCATAAAATGAAGTGCAGACAGTAACATATATACTCGATTTCGCGTCATAAGCGTCATTCCGTTGCTTCTGAGTACATGAATGTGCTCCTTATCGTTATTATCTGCCTCCTGTTTTTCGACGACTTCGCTACCTCTCTTGAAACCGAGTGCTTGCTAATTTACGACGACTTTACTACGCTTTTGGACACCGATTGGATTGCTTCTCTGGATGACCTTGGATTACTCACTGGACATTGATTATAATTAATGGCTCCAGGTCGGCCGATTAGAATAGGATGCGGTCTTTTTTGCATCATACCCTTGGGGCGGGTTTGCTTCTCGCCAGAAGATCCCAGCGTTGTTGCTGATTCTGTTGCGGAATACTGTGGTACTGTTGTGGTACTTCAGGGTATGGAAATTTTTTATTTCATTCTCTGTGGTACCCATCGGAGGCAGATCCTAGCCATGGTTTTGTCGCTCCTGTAAAATAGAATCACGCTATAAGCAGGAGTGCTACCCGGGCCTGGGCTGACGCATCAACGTCTCGGGATGTAAACACCAACGCTCTTAAAAAGAAGTATAATTCCGCCTCCAGGTCCTTCAAAAGAGTCATTGCCAAGGCAAGGTCTGAGCACATCGGCAGAATTTGCGAGAAGCTAGTTTACCTTCCTTCGGGAACCCGTGAATTCTGGTCCGGCTTGACGCGATGCCTAGAAATCATAATATAATGTAAATATTGAATTAGCTTAGTAAGACTTTTTAATGCTAGAGAGTCCTGTACCTATTAAAGTATGAAGAAATGTTTATTGAACTAAAATTTAAGCAATAAAATTAACATCAACAATTTCAAACTAAAAATTCAATACAAAAGTAAGTAATATTTTTAACTGTTAATTTTATCTATTAAAAAACCAGATACTTAACTTTTAACAAATAAATAAATTTAACCGTTAACACAATGTCTAGAATGGATGTTCCCTCAATCGATGGTTTGATTACAATACAAAACAGACAATTGAATAATATATTGGCTTAAATCGCATACTTAATAACTGCAGTCGTAACGTAAGTAGTGGCGCACAGACTTAGTGCAAGCGCACCGCACGCCCGCCGCACCATCTTTTGTAACTACTTATTTAGTAGTACACATAATCGATGCGCTGCGCTACAAATTAGTAGTTAGAGTTGACACGGTAACCGTGTCAGTTATTGTCGCCCGCCGCACGCCGTCGATAACAATCGACTGACATGGATTGTTATCGAATTTTATCGACTAAACTGAGCAATCGACTAAGTTGATTAGTTTTAGTAATAATCGCCCATCGTTAGTGAGAAAGGGATGGCGAGGTCTAGTGAGCGAGCGAACAGACTCCTCCATATCCTTTGTGGTAATTTTTTTTAAACCACCCAGAAATAGCCCTGCTTAGCGAGGCTCCGTCGACTACACTTTGGTATTACTTCGGGACCCCCTTCCCCACTATTAAAGCGATTTCTCTCAGAAATCATTCAATAAAATTTTCAATCTTCAACATATTAATATATAAAATAGGGACGTCCGTGGGGGGTGGGGGTTCAGGTAGGGGGCGAATCTACCCCTCCCCCACCACTTTCGACCGCCCCCAATCCCCCTATTAAGTCGACTTGATTCTAAACCATAACAAACCTGAATTTGATACCCACTAGCATCAATAAAATTGTTGATTGCTATTTTAAGTTCTGGTTTACCATGAACTCATAATATATAATAGTAACAATCTAAATTAGATCTTATTTCTTCAAGTGTAGTACCATGTTTCAATATTCAATTCATCAAATATTTGCTGAAAACCAAATACATATATCAAGTGTAGTAATATTTGCTTTATCCCTTTGTTTGTAACAAACAATTGCATGGTATTAATTGTGAAGTTGATTTAGTTTTGCCGTGGTTTTGTAAAAATGATTTGTCTTAATTGAATTATCAATACAAAATGATTTCTGACTGAAATCTGATTTTAGATTCTGGGTCATTATATTATAAGAAATTACTTAATAAGTATACCTAATTATTTTACATGAAGCATGATATTTCTGTTAGTTTAGGTTAGGTTGGAACTATATAGGTAATATTACTATTTTTTTTTTCGAAATACTGTTTTAATATAAAAAAATTGGTTAAAGTATGTAATACACTGATAAAAACCAATAACATTTATTTCAGTATGTTGAAAGTGATGCCGATGAAGAGTTACTATTCAATGTGCCATTCACTGGCAATGTAAAACTTAAAGGTATTATAATTATGTCCGAAGATTCTAATTCACATCCAGCTAAGCTGAGATTGTAAGTATGCTACTGTCATAATTTTATGTGAGTTTAAAATAAATCTATTTGATATTATAATTTTATAAATGATAGCAAACGTTCGATCATGTTTTTCACAGGTTCAAAAATAAACCTAATATGACATTTGATGATGTCTCCATGGAACCAGATCAGGAGTTTGAATTACAAAAAGATATTGAAGGAGTCTTGGAGTATATTCCTAAGTAAGTCTAAAATTTAAATTATTTATAGTAATATTGACAATAGAGTAGACTACTTTTTAATATGGAACTAATATGATGTGATAGGGGTTAAAATATGATGTTGCCATGTTAATGAAGTGAACTCTTTTGAACACACTTTGAACAAACTTTTATTAAACCAGATTATTCATTTAATTTTTTTAACACAAAAATTGTAACATTTTATAAACAAAAAGATTACGACATTCTATTTGATGTTAGTTTATTCACAATACAGAAAACTAAGTGACTTCCTACTAATAGGACAAGGCTATATCTATATGCAATAAAAATGAAATAACAAGTAACATTGTATCAACTCAAAATTTTGCATATTTTAGTTAATAACTGATTTAGAAAGATTTTTTCCCTACTGACGGGGAAGACAGACGTATTTATATCTCAAATACTTGCCAATATATATTGACTCAAAGCTATATTGAATTTATGATTGGTCATCGAATGAACTAGTATTACCATTACATTTCAATATAAGTCACTTTTCCCTACTAAGTTGTCAGTTAAAGACAAGAGTGTTTGTACCATTTCGAGTTACACCATCGTAAAATGTTTCATATAGAAAAATAAATAAAATGTATGCAATCGATATAATGTTTTACTTAATACTCTGTTACCTGTGATTACTTTTACGCAAAATAATGTCATCTCATAATGCTACTCTATTGCTAGTCAATTTAAAATTATTCTTCATTTAAGTATGAGTTAAATGTATTTGATACGTTATTACCGTCGACTCTACCGGGAAACGCACTCGCACATAATACTGATGTTTCGTGTGGTGGGCGTCTAGAGAACCGGAGATCATCTTACTGGTAACGAGTCTTAGTCCTTAGCAGTGACAACATCTCGACATTTTGATTCTTTATTTGAAGATAAATATATAATAAATAAAATAATAGGTGTGGTTGCACCCCAGCACCCAATTATCATCAATTGACCTCAGTGTTTGTTTGTGACCATTACTTATATAAAACTCCTGACGAAATTAAAGCTGACCCATCACTTCTATGGACCAGAGATTCATTAGACAGTCTGCAAATATATGAATTTCCCTCATTTATTCTGATAGTTTGTTGTTAGTGTATCAGTTTTTCTTTATGGGATCACTATGCTTTGCAACTTCAGATTTAAAAACACCAAATTTCATAGGAAATAGAGCAACCATACTTTGCATAACAACCACATGGACAGCCATTTGATCATACGTCGACAGTGCTCCATAATTTGATGCCCGCAGATAAAACTTTTCTGATTGACTGATCCTAATGTTGATAACATTGAACATTGCTTGATTGAAAAAAAAAAGCAATGGGGAATTTTTTTTTATAGAATGAATCGACAAAAGGGCTCACAGTCCACCTGATGGTAAGTGGAAAGCTGTGGCCCATAAACATATACATCTATCCTCGATTAAGAATCAAAATGCAGATGTGTTTTCACCCTTGAAGACTAAGAAGGAATGGCTATTTACCAGTAAATAGGGACAGTTTGAAATACGTGAACTCAATGTTATATATTACTCTGCGTTTTTCACTTTAATAAATATTGTATGAACAACGATTGCTCCCGACTTAAATCATTCTCTACAAAATCGTAATTTCAGCATATTCTAATGAATAAAAAAGTTGCAAGGAATGTGAAAAATTAGTTAAATATAAAAGAAAAAAGAACTCGTAAAATTATTTTCTAATATAACTGGGATCTTGAAGATTATTGATAAACAAACAATGTGACATTATAAAGGACCACAGTAATCCAATTTATTGCTGTTGGAATCATTATTCCAATAAAAGGATTCGTGATTCTAATATACTTTTTAGTTTGAGGTTGACAAACAAGAATTAGTTTGTAAACAATTTTTAAGTTTACTTTCGACATTAATGACATAGAGATTTGATTAACTCTTAAACAAAAGACGAATACAAGAGTTTCTTATTTTTACTTTATTAAAATTAAATCCCAACCCAAGCATACAACTGCAAGACTTCATGATACTGTAAGTTCATACTGCGTAGATCGGAACAAAATTAATAATTTTTAATCTGGAGGTAGCCGTGGTTAACTATGACATTGGGACGTCATACACCTCAGTCCACCCCGTGACCATGGGTGCTGGAAAGTGCTCGAAACGTCGGGAATATAAAATAAGTTAATATACGCGATAAAATCCGTAAAATTAGTCTTATTTAAATGTGTAGTATTCGCTTTCAGCTCGAGTTACAAAATCGTTTTCAGTGCGTAGAAGATTGCAATGCAGTGGATGATATGAATGACAAGCTCGTGGAAACTGTCCACTGCGGTCGGAGCTAAGTTTTGCAAGACCCGCCTCAGAAAAACACAAAAACTCTCCGATCACACTCTTAATCTCATGGCTGTTATATGGGAAATGAATCTGCAGTCTTCAGTTGATTTGACAGCGTACAGGCAACTGTACAGACAGATCTCCAAATGCATGCAGCGGGACTTACGCAACTTTAATATTGCTCGCGGGCACCAGTCTTTGGCAGAGATCTGTCTGCCAGAAAGAGCCAACTGTCGAAGCTGAAGACCGAATGTGGCAGCATCGTTTCCGAGACACCTGAGATTTTGAGGGAGATTGAGAAGTTCTATGGGCAGCTGTACACATCATCGTTAGAGCCACACGCAAGTGTCAGTAACAATCCAAGAGCAAGATTCCGATGATATCCCGGAGGTCAGTCTGAGCGAGATTAGAATGGCTCTCCAGCACCTTAAAAACGGCAAGTCCCCGGGCGAGGATGGAATTACAGCGAAGATTCTGAAAACGGGTGAAAAACCGGTACTTAAAGTCCTTCAGAAGCTCTTTAATTCCGCCCTTCATGGAGGCACTAGTCTGGTGGCGTGGAGCAGATGTGCGGTGGTCTTGTTCTTCAAGAAAGGCGACAACGCTCTCTTGAAGAACTACAGACCGATTTCCCTTCTGAGCCGCGTCTACGTGCTGTTTTCGAGAGTCATTACGTATCGTATCGCACGCATACTTGACGACTGGAGGCTGGAGCCTCCCGAACAAGCCGGTTTCCGAAAAGGCTTTAGTACCATAGACCACATACACACCCTTCGGCAAATTGTTCAGAAGACAGAAGAGTATAATCTGCCACTTTGATTTGCGTATGTGGACTATGAGAAAGCCTTTGATTCCGTCGAAATTTGGGCGGTGCTGCAGTCCCTTCAGTGGTGCCAAGTTGACTGTCGGTATATCGAAGTGCTGAAGTGCTTGTACAGTAGGGCTACGATGGCTATCAGAGTACGAAACCTATCCAACTGCAGAGAGGTGTAAGACAGGGTGATGTTATATGCCCGAAACTCTTCACCGCTGCATTGGAAGACGTTTTCAAGCTAATGGACTGGAAATAATGCGGTATTAACATCAATGGCGAGTACATCACTCACCTTCGATTTGCCGACGATATAGTCCTTATGGCAGAATCGCTGGAGGACCTAAGCACTATGGTCAATGACCTCAATAGTGTCTCCCAACGGGTAGGTCTTAAGATGAACATGGACAAAACAAAAATAATGTTTAACGTCCATAACACATCTATGCCGGTAGTTATTGGGAGCACTAAGCTCGAAGTTGTTAACGAGTATGTTTACCTAGGACTAATAAGTCCGACAAGGTAAGTCTGACTTCGTCCGAGAGGTCAATCGACGGATTCAACTAGACTGGGCAGCGTTCGGGAAACTACGACACATCTTCTCGTTAGACATACCTCAAAACCTGAAAACGAAATTGTACAACTAGTGAGTGTTGCCAGTGATGACTTACGGATCTGAGACGTGGTCCTTCACTGCTGGCCGTATGAGGAAGCTCAAGGCCGCTCAGCGAGCTATGGAGAGGGATATGCTTGGGGTTTCTCTGCGTGATAAACTTAGAAATGACGATATCCGCAGTAGAACCAGAGTAACCGACATAGCCCAACGGATTAGTAAGCTGAAGTGGCAGTGGGCCGGCCATATAGTTCGAAGAACCGGCAACCGATGGGGATGAAAGGTTCTCGAGTGGCAGCCTCGTACCGGTAAGTGAAGTGTAGGGCGACCCCACACTAGATGGAGTGACGACCTGGTAAGATATGCAGGAAGTCAATGGATGCCGGTGGCTCGGGACCGTGCTTTGTGGCATTCCTTGGTGGAGGCCTATGTGTAGCAGTGGACTTGTGAAGGGCTGTAATGATGATGAAGGATGCCAGATTTGCTCTAAAATAGTGTTAATTCAAGAAACTTATGAAATGGTACCGCGTAGGCGATGTATCGCCTACGCGGATTCCAGATGTGGAGGATCATACACCTTCCCTGTTGGACCTTCTGCTGACCTCTCATCCGGATGGCTATCAGGTTTCTGACGATGCCCCTCTCGGTTCTTCGGACCATTGTCTGATCCAGAGTGTGGTGCCACTCGCGCTCCCCTCGCGGTTGCGTTCTGCAGGTTGCCGCCGTGTTTGGCATTACAGGTCGGCGGATTGAGACGGAATGCGGTCTTTCTTTGCATCCTACCCATGGGGGCGGGTTTGCTTCTCGCTGGATGATCGTAGCGCTGTTGATGACTCTGTGACTGATGTGGTGCTACAGGGAATGGAACTATTAATTCCATCATCCGTGGTACCCATTGGAGGCAGATCTCAGCCTTGGTTTGGTCGCTCCTGTAAGACTGTATTACGCAGTAAGCAGGAGTGTTATCAAGCCTGGGCTGCGGCTTCGGCGACTCGGGATGTAAACACCAGCATGCTTAAAAAGAAGTATAACTTCGCCTCCAGGTCCTTCAAAAGAGTTATTGCCAAGGCAAAGTCAGAGCACATAGGCAGAATTGGCGAGAAACTAGTTCGCCTTCCTTCGGGAACCCGTGCATTCTGGTCTCTCGCCAAGGCTGTCCAAGGGAATTTCTGTAAGCCATCACTACTATCTCTGCTCAGGGAGGACGACTCACTGGCCCACGCAGCAAAAGAGAAAGCTGACCTTTTAGGCTCCCTTTTTGCGTACAAGTCGACTCTTTATGACGGGGGAACACACCGCCGACCATCTCACGGTGAGAGTGCTCCATCCTGGATGTGCGGTTCTCACAGCGTTTGGTTTGCAAAGCACTCCTCTCCCTGGACATCCACAAGTCGAGTGGGCTTGACGGAATCCCCCCAATTGTGCTGAGGACGTGTGCTCCGGAGTTGGCACCGGTTCTAACGCGTCTTTTCCGGTACTCCTACTCCTTAGGCGTAGTTCCGAAATCATGTAAGACAGTTTTTGCCCACCCGATCCCTAAAAACGGCGACCGCTCGGACCCGTAAAACTACAGGCCTATCGCCATGAACTCCTTGTTCTCGAAAATAATGGAATCCATTATTAACTGCCAGCTCATGCGGTACCTTGAGGATCACCAGCTGATTAGTGACCGCCAATACGGTTTTCGTCGGTGACGATCAGCTGGTGATCTTCTGGTCTACCTGACTCATAGATGGGCGGAGGCAGTAGCGTCCAAGGGGGAGGCGTTGGCCGTTAGTTTGGACATTGCGAAGGCCTGCGATCGGGTTTGGCACAAAGCGCTTCTTTCGAAGCTCCCTTCCTATGGGCTTCCCGAGAAATTGTGTAATTGGATCACCAGCTTCCATGCAGATCGGAGCATCATGGTCGTTGTAGACGGTGCATGCTTCGACTACAAGCCTATTAACGCTGGTGTTCTACAAGGCTGTGCGCTATCACCAACGCCGTTTTTTCTGCATATCAATGATATGTTGAAAACTGGTAACATTCATTGCTATGCGGATGACAGCACTGGTGATGCTCTATACACCGGCCGTGCCAATATTTCTCGGGAAAACGTCGCCGAGTACCGGAACAAACTTGTGTCTGAAGTCGAGTCTTTGCTGAACAAAGTCTCGGATTGGGGGCGACTAAATCTAGTCCAGTTTAATCCTCAGAAGACACAAGTTTGTGCGTTTACCGCTAAAAAGAACCCCTTTGTCGTATCTCCTCAGTTTCAAGGCACTCCCCTTCTTGCCTCAGCCAGTATCGGTATCCTCGGAGTCGACATATCGAGTGACGTGTAGTTTTACGGTCACTTGGAGGAGAAGGCCAAATTGGCCTTTAAAAAGCTTGGCGTGCTCAGCAGAGCGGTACAGTATTTCATGCCGGCACACCGCCTGCAACTTTACAAGGCGCAGGTTCGGCCTCACATGGAATACTGTTTCCATCTCTAGGCAGGGGCTCCCCAGTGCCAGCTCCTTCAACCTGACCGCATCCAGTGTAGAGCGGCTCGAATCTTCGATGACCGAGACCTTTCCAATCGGGTCGATTCATTGGCACTGCGAAGAGATGTTGCATCCCTTTGCATTTTCTTTCGCATTTACCACGGGGAGTGCTTTGAGGAATTGTTCGGATTAATCCCAGCTGCCAAATTTCTCGAACGCACATCGCGGCAGAACTCCCGATACCATCCACACCATCTGGATGATTGGCGGTCCACCACTGTGCGATTTAGAAGATGTTTTCTTTCTCGCACAACTTCCTTGTGGAATCGATTACCATCAACGATTTTTCCGGACCGATACGACTTAAGGACCTTCAAGAAAAAATCCTACTCCTTTTTAAAAGGCCGGCAACGCATCTGCAATTCCCCTGGTGTTGCGGTTGTTCATGGGCGGCGGTAGTCACTTACCATCAGGTGAGCCGCATGCTCGGTTGCCCCCTCTCCTATAAAAAAAAAATGGTAAGTAGTAGTGTCATCGGTATAAATAAATTGTGATTTTAAATAATCTTCAGCAGTACTCCTGAAACTGAATTAGGTACTTTATAATAATGGAATTTCATTTCTACTTCTAAATATTAAGAGTAACTTCACGTAGGTATGCAATGAGTTAGGGATGGGCAAGTGAAAAAAATTATCGATATTTTTAAATAGTATTGACAATTATCACGTGATAAATATCGATATATCGTCATGTTTTGCATTATGTAGTAGGATAAGGGCCAAATTTTTATAACTGGTCGAAAAAACTACATGAGCACATTAATGCTTTTGTTGCTTAATGTTTTAACTATTAAAATATATAGAAATTTATACGAATTTGATACTCTAAAATAAATATCGATAATTTTATGAGAAAATATCGATATTACGATATATCGATATTTTTACCCAAGTCTACAATAAACCACCGTAGAGCAGATTGAAACAGGTAATACTTTCGCGATTATGTCGGTGTATAAATAAGTCACTACAAGGGTCATGCCAAAAGAAACTAGGTACTCAATCACTCAAATATTTATCCTTTATTACTGGTTCCTGTTTACGTTACTAGTTATTATTAATAATTTACTAGGTGGTAGAACTCCTTTTGTATCTAGAGGAGTCTGTCTGGGTAGATACCACACTCTTACCTTTTTTATACGAGAGAGGGCAAACGAGTATGCGGCTCACCTGATGGTAAGTGACTACCGTCGCCCATGAACAACTGCAATACCAGAGAGATTGCAAATGCGTTGCCGGCCTTTTAAATAAAAAGTAGGCTCTTTTCTTGAAGATCCCAAAGTCGTATTGGTCTGGAAAAATCGCTGGTGAAAACTTCTAAAACAGTGGTGCACCGCCAATCATCCTGATTGTATGGATGGTATCTCGAGTTTTGTCGCGATCTGTGATGGTGAAATTGAGCGGCTGGAATTAGTCCGAACAATTCTTCCGGACACTCCCCGTTGTAGATGCGATAAAATACGCAAAAAGATGTTCTCTTCGCAGCGCCAGTGAGTCAAGACAACGCGTCGTTAGCTTTCTTTGGTTGACTGCAGATGTCCATGCACTTCAGTAGTCACTTATCATCACGTATGTATGTATATTCGTTTGTCATTTTAGTTTGAATTATAAAAAATGATATATAAACAAATATCCAGCTTTTAGGATAACGTTTAACATGATTAACGGTGTCAAACAAGTGAGTAAAGAGTACCTAATTTTTTTGGCAGTCAACTCTAATCCTTTTCGCTCTTTTTAAATTGAAATACAATTTACATAAAATAAATTGTTTAATAATTGTATCTTTTTTTCTTTTAGAATAGTCACATTTTCATCCGTGTCACATTTAACAATGCACTTTTCTGCGAATTTTGGTGCAGAAACTACAAAAATTTATTATATTGGGTTAAAAGGAGAATGGACACAAGGACATAAACATGGAGTCACTATCTGTACATACGAAGCAAGACCTATGATAGATGATCACAAATTAAAACATTTAGATTCAGTTAACAGACCAATAGAATAGACAAGAAAAATTATTTATGAAATAAAAAAAAAATTGTTCGTTATTTTTTATATTTTTTTTCTCCTTTATCCTGTTGTGTGTCCCATCTTACACTTGCGAGGGTGTACTTTTACACTCCTTTTAGACTGAAGTACCTTAGAAGTTCCTTAGAGTATTTATAAGCAAACTACATAGGTATAAAGCGCGCGTTAGTGAGTCCTAGAACAGTAAGCACGGGTGTGAACAGTCTCGAAATGGCAACGGCGACGTTATTAATCACGAAAGGTCTCGCACATAATTAAAATTATTTCTCTTGATGGTATTTATTTGAATTTTAAGTTACAATGGTGAAATGTGCAGTGCCGATTCACGGAAACAAACTAAGAAGAACAATGATAGGTCTTTTCATCGGTATGTAATAATATTTTAATAAAAAAACACTGATTTTAACAAAATTAGGGTGTCAAAGAGAGTAGTGGGAGGTGTGCGGCCGGGGCGTCACAGCACCGTGCACCGTGCCTCGTGCTTAGGGTTTTCCCCGAATTAGAGCTAGTGCTGCGCCATGTTGCACTCGTGATTGGACTGTGGTTTCTTTCGTAATAATTATAATATAAGTCTAGTATAGAAGTTAGGCTCCTTTGTATTCCTAACCCCCCCATATAGATCAATGTCTAAAATAAATCTTTTGAATAGTTTTTTTTATAGGTACGTAATAAAGGTTAAATACTTTTCAAATAATTACAGATTTCCGAAAATCCGTGAATTGGCTAATAAATGGGTGGTACAATAAAAAGTAACACAATAATTTTTGAGGCATATTTAATACAATTATAATTTGATTTAAACAAGTTCATAACTTTTATTGGCACAATTTTCTAAAATTATTTGTAAAATCTGTTTGTTATAATATTGTAAGACTGTTGTTATCTTAAAACTGGGAGCCAAACAACATGAATTTCGTTTGTTTCATCAATTTTAGTGAATCGTAGAGTTTTGAAAGCAAGGGTGGACCGCGCAAGCTGGTTGGAGTTGCAATCGCAGTGGCTTGAGAGCAATGAGTTGCTGCGCTGGGGGCCGCGGGTTCAAATCCTTCACGGAACAAGTATTAGTATGGCCTACAAACAATTGTTCCGGGTCTGGATGTTTGCCTTGTGCAATTTTTTGTTTGTAAACTGCTTCCACCGTAGAGGACAAAATCCTAGTGTGGGGGTAACGTATATAAAAAAAGAAAACAAAGAAAAAAATACCAGTGCTTAAATTTGAAGTAAAATTATACTTAAACTGATTAAAAACTAGGTTATCCAGTTATTTATGTAATTACGGCCGTAATTATATGTATATGTTCACGATTTTTTTTTAAAACGAATGGATGTCATCGTTAGCGAAGCCGCTATAGAAGCCGAGAAGCCTGGCTTGCCCTATCAAACTGCTCAATCAATAATATCAACTAATAAAATAACTTGTAAACTGTTTCAAACTATTTCAAATTTCCCGCGCGCTTCTCTGTTCTAGACACTACTCTAGTACTACCTCATAGCCTTATTGTGTAACGTCAACACTTGGCAGATTGCTTTCAATTCGAAATACACTGATATGTGTTCTCTCTGTCTCAAAGCGAACACGCAATGGACTGTCAAAATTAAGCAATATGGATGGACCCCGGTCGCGGTAAACTGCGCGATACTTGTTTTTAGGAACTTTTTTTTGTGAAGAAAAATAAATTATTTTATTTTATTATTTATTTATTTTTTACTGCTGTCATAAAAAAGGAGTTGAGCGATTAGTCGTCTCTCTCGCACGCGTGGGCCTTTTAACAGGCTTTCGAGAAGACGATCGCTCCCTTTTTAACCTGTGACAAAATGTTCTATAATGAAATATAACTACGATTGATTATATAGCAATTAGTGTGGAGCGATAAGCTGGGCTTTCAATGTGAAGTTAGTAGAGCGCGGGGGCGGGCGGGCGATATGTTTGCAAGTTCACTTCACATTTCAATGTTTACTCTGTGTGTTTACTTGAGCGAATGAATATTGCGAGTTGAAAATGTATGCTTTTTTAAAGATTTTTAGTGAATATGGAGGATGATAGTGTTTCTTGTAATGATTTGAAGTGTGTTAAAGTGCTAATCGGCGAGGTAAAGGTAAAATCTTTAAACTTTGTTGAGAAAAAACAGCTCATATCCACGCCGAAACCAACGCCTGTGTATTTCTCAGACGAGTAAAATCCTCAAACGGCAATTTAATAGATCTGTTTACTAAACTCATTGAATTGTTGGCTGCTCACATACCAAGAAGTTGTACTGTTGGTGCTGCATATTCTTTTCCAACGATAAAACAGCTTGGAATACTACTTGATATGATGATTTAAATCACTTATCTGGAACCATTAAAAGGCATATGAATTCTCAAAAACACATGAATGCGGTAATTTCGTTTAGTAATTTTGGAAAAAATCGGATTGAAACATCTTTGTCGCGCCAGTTATCCGAAGAAATTACAAAACACAACATGCGTGTTGCTCACAATCGTAGTATTTTTCAAAGACTAGTCGATATTGTTTGCCATTTAGCACAACAAGAACTTCCTTTCAGAGGTCACGATGAGTCGAAAACTTCATTAAATAGAGGCAAATTTTTAGAACTTGTATCGCTTCTTTCGAAGTACGATCTCGTGTTAGAAAACCATATGCAGCATAAATAAAGCGACAAACGGCCGAGTTATTATTTATCTAGTATAACCCAAAATGACATTATTCATTCTGTCGTTGATGTAATGAAAATTCGCATCAAGTGCGAAGTAAAATTGTCAAAATTCGTTTCAATTATTATTGACGAAACTCCCGATGTTAGTCACAGAGAGCAATTGTGTCTGATTCTCCAATATTATTATGAAAACGATATTCATGACCGCTTTTTGGGGTATATAGATGTGTCTGAATGCCGCGCAGCAGACACTTTATAATATCATATTGGAATTATTAAACAAACATGACTGCACAACAAAACTAGTTGCGCAAAGCTATTACGGTGCAAGTGTCATGTCCGGTGTCAGAAATGGAGTGCAACAAAAAGTTAAAGATGTTTGTCCCCAAGCCATATATACTTGGTGTAATGCACACATTTTGGTATTAGTTTTATCTAAATCTCGTAACAGGATTGGGGAAGTCAGCACTTTTTTTCAGCCCTTCAGGCTTTATTTAATTTTTTGAATAACAGCACAAATGTTTTTATGATGCACATTGCAGGAAAAAATCGCCTAGTGCCCCCGCAACTCGTTGGATGTATACGTCGCGAATTGTGAATGCTGTATTCGAACAAAATGATAATTTTTGATTAATTTGTTTTCGGATAGGTGCGACAATCCGCAGAACTGGGACGGCGATACGATCTTGACCGCCGAGAATTTTGAAAACACATTGCGTTCATTTAATTTAATTTTTTTTCTTTCAATTTTCCACCGCGTATTTGAAAAAACCGACTGCTTGTACAATATTTTACAAAAATCACAAGTTGATGTCGGTGATTGTAGTATCTAATAAAATAAAGGAGTTTCAGACATGGTTACGTACTGAATTTCAGTCAGGTTTTGATCACGTTTATGAGAACACATTGCAAAATAACTCTGCTCCTCGTCTGAGACGCAATGTGCGCTGTGCTCAGACGGAATATAAACGACTTTTTGTTGAAGTAATTGATAACATAACTTCAATTCATTAATGGCCGATATTCTGAAATTTTCAAATTAAAATTTTTCCAATTGTTCAACAACAAACTATTCGAAAAATATCGGTCAGATTTTACTTTAGAGGCATTAGATTCATTATTTGAAAATTACGCAAACCATTTTGATAAACAAACATTGGAAAACCAATTGATTTCATTGTATTCCTCCCCTGAATTAAAATACCGCAATGTAACTCATTGACTTTATAAACGAAAATAGTCTTGAACAGGCCTTTCCCCAGCTTTTAAAGTTAGCTTATCTTATCGTAGGTAACTACGTATTCCAGCCACAAGTTCCTCCGCGAAACGTTCTTTCTCATCTCTGAAAAGTCACTGAAGGTATGCAATTGCTGATATGTCATACAATATATCTAGTAATAGTATGCATTCTGTGTGCTTTGTTAAACACGTTCTCGACATCACTGAATATGAAACTGAAGAGTGGAGACAGATCAAGATTGGTGTATTTTTATAAAACTGCTAAAAACAACAAAACCATATCTTGAGCTTGCCCCAGCTTGGAGCCCTAGCTTCGCCACTGCATGTTATTAAACTATATATTGACATTAGATTGAAATATTTAGTACGTAAAACTGCGATCAAGCAATCAAAACTATAATTATATTAAGTTTACCCTTTTTATGGGGCAGTAAATTAATTAGATTTTAGTGTTTGATTAATAAACATCGTTTTATAAATTCGTACTTGTGTTTTATTGATCTGCTCAAATTAAACTGTGTCCGGGTTTGTAGAAATAAAATTTGAAGGCCAGTATATACCTAATCTTAATTTTAATCGATAAAAACACCTTTCATAAAGGGGTGCAATCTTTACACCCATAAAGATAGAGTAATTTTAGTACCTTATTTCGATATCCGCATAGACTTTGGACATAGGTCTCACTGAGGCGTACATTTAATTTTATTTTTACGACATAGAGAATCTTAAAAAAATATTCAATTAATACACAAAAGATTATACTTTTGTATTGAGCCATAAAAAACTTTTTTAAACGTAATTAATACCTCTATTGAATTTCCTAAAATTCTGCAATTACGGCTTTCCCGCAAATTGTAGTTGATAAGATGGTGACTGTCCCCGAGAAATAGGTATTACACCAAAGCACATTGCGACAATACCCACGGTACGATCCACACCACCCGAATGCTTCGCGGTCTACCACTGGGCGATTTAGGTACTAGGGGTTATTTTCCTCGCGCTTCTTTGTGCAATCGTCTACCACCGATTTTTCCGGACCGTAGTTTCCTTCAAGACACGAGATTACTACTTCTTAAAACTCCGGCAACGCACCTGCAATTCCCCTGGAGTTGCAGTTGTTCATGGGCGGCGGTAGTCATCACAAACTACTAAGAAGTACTAGCGGTAGTCACTTACCATCAGACGAGCCGCATGCTCGTTTGCCCCCTCTTCTATAAAAAAAAAACATGTAGGAAAATATGGTGTTTGTAGATTTAATTTAACAAATATCGTTGATATCTTCATCCATAGGTAATCATGCGAAAGGTATTTTGCGAGGGAATTTTGTAAGTTATTTCTATCTTTAATTTTTTTTAATGTCTTTATTTAATTTTTTAATTGTTTAATATGAGCACTATTAGGGTGCGTGCAGATTAAGTAACATGTTGTGTAACTTTTGTTTTATAATACGTCTACATTATGTAACATTGTTTTTCAACATTGCAAGATATAACAATACTGTACACGTTAGAATAACAATGTTATATGACATTATAGTATGACATTGTCGTTTGTCTTTCTGACGTTCGAGTTATATAATATTTGAGCCACGTTAAATAACGTTTTATAACATGTTATGTTATATAAGTGTACGCTCCGTTATGTTAACAATTTAGATCGCACATAGTATTTTCGGTGTCTTTTTCGCGAAGGACAGAAATTATCCCAAGCAAGTCTTACTTCGACCAAGAGGTCCTACGTATCGGACTCGATTGGGTAGTCAAATAAATCTCAAAATCTCATAACGCAGTATGTATGTTAATGCATGTTGATGCATTTAGGTGTCCCAAGACCGTAATAATCGTTGGGGAGGCTTATGTTTAGCAGTGGACTCGTGACGGGTTGTAATTGAAATGCAAATACAATTCATTTAATGCTCTGCAGCTGGATATTATATAATTGATAATCTGATAATTGATCTCTTATAATGATAATCTAGTCTAGCTTGTCCACGGATATGTTTTACACGCTTGTTGCAGTCATACAGACATTTAATTTTTTTTTAAATATTATACATATTACGACTTCGTACGGATGTTTTAATGTGTCATCTGATCAGATCAATTAAATTTCTATGAAATAAATTATATAGCTGCAGCGTAGCTCTACCACGTAAATGGAATAAAAGTTAAAAACTTCAAATGAAACAAAAGTTACTTAAAAGTTCAATTTATTGATCTACACATATACGTATTAGATTTAAAACATTATTATTTACAAAATTGGGTATTTAATATTTATAATATAAGGTTTCATATTATTTGCGATTCAACTCGTTCTTACTTGGAATCTCGTGTCTGTCTATATTGGTATAAAACATACAGCACTAGTATATTTTTATATAGGTAGGTGAGGTAATTGCTTTATTATTTAACTCAGATGACGCTTCTGGACATTCTAATCCAGTAGTTTGTCTTCGAAAGATATATGCACATACCCTATCTTACATAAATTAGGAAAACGCCTGTCAACATGCATTCTAAGTTATAATTTATTATAATACAGATGTGGCAGTGACAGAGATTATCGATGTTCCACCTTACGATATTTCATGTTCTAGCTGTTATAAGTACATCATTAAGTTCTAAAATGTTATTGTAAGCACCTTAATTAGAGTGGTTTATTTCGTAAGACTATATGTTCTTAGACTATCACATAACGTTGGATATTTCTCACTGGCGACGTCTACCACGCGCGATGCGGTATCTGCGTGGGTACTGCGAATAGGGCCGACGATAGACAGGCGGTCGCCGCACTACGGCATTTGGTACCGAGCTCACGTCGCCTCCCTGGTAGTAGGTACCAGATGGTGGGCCTGGCCTTCTCCTCATGCACACAGCACACCTATAAAGTGAACATATTATAAAATAGATATTGCGATTATATTATTACATACTGATTATTAGTCGTAAGAGTATTTATATTATCCGATATATTAATCCATTATTAAACATAGACTATCCCCAAAGACACTTCTCTGGTAGCTCAGGGGTTAAGCGCTCGCTGTAAATTAAACAATATGCTAGTAACCCTGGTTCGATCCCCGCTGGCACCAATGAAATTGTTAATTGCAATTTTAAGTGCTAATTTATCACGTGCTCGGCGGTGAAGGAAAACATCGTGAGGAGGAAACTTACATGGCTTAGAAATAAGAAAAAAAAAATCGCAGACATGTGAAGTTCGTCAACACGCATTGGGGCAGCGCGGCGGACACTTCCTTGCCCTAAAACCCGCTCAGAAATAAGAGTAGGCCTCTGCCCAGAGACGGTATATAGACTATAACTTTACTTTAATAACTTTCCTCCAAAGACTTACAAAATACGACTCTGAGCAACCTGTGATTATTCACTTTTGACTTTTTAACGGCGCTTTGGCATTTATCAGTTCGGTATGAGGTTATTTGAGTATTTTTTCTCCTATCATAGTGCTACGTTTCTCCAGCGATTTTGCTAATTTTCTATATCGTTAAAATCTAAGTTGGGTAAAGTACGTGTCATTATAGTATTCTTAGGTATTCGTAGTATTCTTTCCAGTCCATTGGCGTGAATACATTGTGACGGTAGCCAACATAATATACCTATAATATTAACATGGTCGTAACATTCGAGTATGTCTGTCTATTATGTTTCTTATTTGTTTTAATGTAAGCAAGTTTCTCATCCACGGGGGATTGCTAGTTCTACTGTCAAGAAAAGGAGTAAGATAAGTGCTTCCCTGCTACCGTAGACCAATGTGTTTCTTATGGCGTGCCATCGCTAAGGTATCGCTACAATAAATACGCAGCCGATTAAGAAATTGAAGCCGTGTTCCAATGTAGCACCCAAATCTGCAGCTGGATGGATTTCGTACTTTGGTGCTGTATTTAAATAGATATTGCACCCTTGCTTTGTAAACATTTCTGCACTTCCACATTTTGACAGTCAATCTGATATGGTCAAATTAGACAGTATCATCATCCAAATTTGGAGAGAATCAAATGATTTCTCATAGTCCAAATACACTATCTAAAGCCGCATTATGCATTCTTTAATCTGTACGATATAAATGTGTAGGTCTGCGTATCAGACAATTAAAAACCAGCTTAGTAAACGTGGCTTACAGGAAAATCGACCTGTAGTTTAATAATGGGTGTCAGCTTTACGCCGTTGGCGAATATTCAGTGTGAAGAACGAAATTATTAAATAGCTTCTAAAGGTATTTAAGAATACTATTACAACCTAACAAAAGTCTCCTGCTGAACAAAGGCCTATTGAGATATTTGCCACAGTTGCCACGCTTGGAAATCGAGTTGGCGACCGCAATTTTTTTATTTCTTTAGTTGTTATTAGGAAGATCCTGTTGCGCATCTCTTGTTTATTTCGCCTCTTATACGACACCTACAGGCGATATAGTGTAGTGGATATTTTTACACCGCCACCACATGGTAAATGAAATAGTGTGTGATAAAAATTGCCTTGGGTCATAACGCAATCTTTCGTGTGCTGTCCCTATAACCTCGTCAATCTTACTCAAAATCCCCGCTAGCCAGGAAATAAGTGGCTATCGGCTTTCATATTTGGCAGATGGTTCTTTTCGGTAGACAGATCGCTGGCGAAGACTTTGTAGTCTTGGTTCCGCGTAATTATTTCTTCAATACAAGCTGTACTAAAGTTGCGTAAGTCCCGCCATACCTAACGTAACCAAGAAAGATACTTCTCTTAACCGTACATTATTAATTGGTTTTCAACATGCTCTTTGGTGTGTGGACCTCAGTGGAACGTATGTAGGTTTATTTTATAATTTACTTTTAATTTAGAATTAATACAATCGGTCATTAAACTATACACATACCTGCTGACTTTCGACACTTGATCCGCTTTTAGGGTTTGTTGTTCAGGTCGTAGGAACATTCTATTATCATCGATTGTCGATAACCAATAGGATACTGCCGTAGCGAAGTAGTTGCAACGGCCTAATCCGTTACATTCGATAAACGGACGAGTACGGAATTCACGAAGACATGAACCAGGTGATATCAAACTTTGTCCAGCCGCGCCTGCACCAGCCGTGTGCTGTTGAATTTGTAAATGAATAAGTTAAATTGTAAAGAATGTAGTTCAAACATTATGTATAAACAATGCTTAGACAGTTTTTAATTTTAATTAATCTTGTTATACTTGCATTCTAAGTATGTTTCTTATAATGGTACGAATCCCATTAAATAATTAAAAACCCGTTTAACAAATACAATTAAAACAAATACACTTTATCAATTTTTAGGTTCTTAATATTATCTGTGTCAAATTTATAAAATGAACTTAGGCTGGTAATGAACCATATTAAATGGCAGTTTAAGTATTTTGATTAATAAAGTAAAAGCATACCATTAAAAAGCTATAGCCTATCCATAATTCATCCCAGCCTTGTGGACAGGTAGGTACTTCATTACTTTGACTGTGTATGGCAATGGTTCTTGTTGACGATTCACACACTTGACATCTGAAACAAGAAATTATTATAGGATAATAAGAATCTGTCAGAATGGAGCTGGGGACGTATAAGTGTGCGGTCTTCCATGTCGAAAAGAATAGGGTCGCTTATTCTGAGGACATACACTATGTATATCAACATAAGGACCCTTTCCTAGGCTGAAACATACCGATACTTGGGTATGTCACAGAACATAGGTATCGATGAAGCATGTATGAAACAGTCAGTTTGAGATGTTCTTTTAAGCACGCTTGACCAAAGTGCTTAACAGCCTTTGTCGGGCGTAAATAAGACACTGTTAGAACGCTTGGGTCATGGATGTCCTTACGTCTACCGCGGAAGCATGGTGGGCGTGGCTTTTCATCATGCATAATCGAGATGCGTGCAGCCTCGTAATTACATCCTGACGAGATCGAACAATAGATGGACGTGATTTCGTGTGATAAGGAGCTTACCCCTTTATCCTTAGCCAGTAAGCAATGGCAGGACCCAGCAGTACAGAGAAAGTACAGAGAAAGCATATGGAAGGAGAAGGAGCTTCACGGAAGGTTCTACAAGGCTCTATATGAGCCTTTAGTAGACACCGTTGTCTGGCTACATTTCAGTGATCTCTTTGAAGAAACCGAGGGTTTTGCCTGTGAAATACAGGACCAAAAATTATCGGAGATACATCCTAAGGTATGGGCACTGCCGACATCTATCGAGCTTTTTACTATTCAGGCAGTCACTTAAGCATATTTCATACGTGCCGGAAGCCGTGCTCTAAAATGATGGCGCCAGGTTCTGCTGGGACCGACCTGGCCATAATCACAGATAGGACTATTCTTGTGAATAAGCTTGGTGCCTGGGTCTAGCTCACGATGTGATCTATGTGTAGAGTGGTCTGCCGACCGCAATTATTCTTGTAGTCATTTCTGCAAACGGATTAGTTAATCCCGGTCAGCTTATCATGTTATCTAAGGTGACTGGGACTCTGTAACGGACTGTTCAAGGCTTAGATTATTGATAGGTCATCGCGCGATAACCTATCAATAATCTAAGGTTCAAGGCTATGTAGTAGGCAGTGCTCCTCTATACCGCCGGCATGGTCCGCCGATTTCTTTCTCATTCCCCCTAACTCCTAGTTTGGTTTCCCCAGCCGGGGGCTTCCGTCTTTGGTTTTAATTAACTATTTTGTATTTATCTAACTATACTTTATTAATTATTCTATTCTATTATATAAATATTATGTAATAATAATTTTATTTTATTTATATTAACAGTATATGTTTATATATATTTATGAGTATTTAATTTATATTAGAAATATCCCCACATAATAATAAACTTCGTTGTCTAATAGATGCAAGGAAAAATTATTTTTTTCTAGTTCAAAAGGTACCACTACAATAATCTACCTATGATCGTAAGTAGGGAGCCGCGCAGTAAATAAGTTCCGATTATTCTGAAATTTTTAGATTTATGGTGATTACGATATTTATTTTCTTTTTATTTTATTTCTTCTTCTTCCTGCCCTTATCCCAAGTAATTTCGGGTCGGCATAGCATGTCTTCCTCTTCGATTTTCCTCTGTTAGTTATCTCTTCACTCACTACTTTCTTACGCATATCATCTTATATTATTCTTAGGCCTCCGTCTACTCTTATATCCATCCATTTTCGTAGCAAACTTTCTTCTTGTAACTTGGTTTACTTCTCTTCGCATAATATGCTATGTATCAATGAACCGAATCGAAACTCATAGCAAACTGGTAGGGGTACATCTAAGGAGATTTGAGAGAAATTTTAGTGACCACCAAACTCGCAGAATAGGTGCTCGCAGTATTGGTTCTATTAATTTTCAGTCCGCAACTTCTTATTTTTTTTCATTTGGCCAGTCTACTCTAGAACAGCATGCACCATGATGCCTCCTCATGTAGGTCCGATGTCCGTGCATCCATTACCAGGAGGAACAAATAAAGGCTTAAACCCAATCCCTGGTGCAAGACCATAGCGGCATTCAACACGTAAGCTTCAGACCAAACATGAGTGAGGGCTCTACTATACATAGCATGGATTAGTTGAACATACTTACCTGGCACTTCTTTCTGTTTCAATGCCTACCAAAGAACTTTACGGGGTACCCTTATCGTATGCTTTCCAAAGGTCGACAAATACCATCTGTGAATATTTTTGTGCACGTCTATATTTTTCGCAAAGCTGGCTAAATGCAAATATAGAATCCATTGAGTCACGTCCTAATAAACCCGTACCCGAATTGGTTTTGTGTTATCTCACTCTCCTCCCTCAGTCGTCCCACAATCACTCTTTCCCAAACCTGCATGGTGTGTGACATAAGCTTTATTCCTCGATAGTTGTCACAATCCTGCACTTCACCCTTATTTTTGAAAATGAGCGCAAGGGTACTGTTGCATCATTCATCAAGAATCGCCTCATCTTGTAGCAAATTGATGATAATTAAAAATTAAAAATTTTGTACTACTGACTTCAATATAAATTATTAAGAATAACTCAAAAGCTATTGGTCAGACCTTGATCAAATTTATATGGGACCACATGTGAAACACCAGCATTCAAATAAAAAAAAAATCGAAATCGTTTCAATTTTTATACGTGGTAGAGCCATGCTGCAGCTATATTAGTAGTATAGTTGTAGCACGAATGGGTTGGCTCGACCGGGGAAGGACCACGCTCTCACAGAATACCAGCGTCAAATAGCAGCTTAACACTGCTGTGTTTCGTATGGTGAGTGTAGAGAACCGGAGACCCTTTTTACTGGAAAAGAGGCATTCCATCTTAGTCCTCACGGGTGACAACGCATCTGCATTTTGATTCGCAAACACCCACTTACCAATCACCAATCAGGTGGATTGTGTGAAAAGTTGTTGACGAATATGTTTATCTAGGTCAAGTTGTCTGACTAGGTAAGTTCAGGTTCAAAGAACGGATTTCACTCAGCTGGGCAGTCTTCGGGAGATTACGACACATCTTGTCACGTATCATACATACCTGTAAACTTGAAAACAATAGTGTACAACCAGTGCGTCGGTCTGAGACGTGGTCCTTAACTGCTATGAGTAAGCTCAAGATCAATGAAAGTAATACAAGAAGAGAAATACCATCTATGACATATCTTACCTGGATATATACGATCCAACATCTCTTGCTTGTATAGGTGTCATAGCCATAGGCATAGGTTCTGGGGTAGAGAGCCAAAAACTGTAATCTTCGCGTTGCGCGAAATTACATACGTTGTTTAGATTGCAAAACATGTATGGCATCGTTGAAAATTTGCGCAGACAACTTCCTGGGGCACCTGTTTAAAAATGATTCGTAAGTAATGTAATCTTATGTATTATTTCGGTAAATGTTTAAAGTTCGTGTTGCCAGTGATGATATATAGATCTGAGGAGTGATCCTTCACTGGTGGTCTTTTGAGATATCCGCAGTAGAACCAGAGTACATAGCCCGGCGTAGCATTAATATGAAGTGGCATAGTGCCGGCCATATAGCTTCAAGAACCGACATTCTATTGAGGAAAAAGGATCTCAAGTGGCAGCCTGGTAAGCGAAATGTAAGGCAGCCTTCTTCTATATGGAGTGACGATCTGGTAGGATATGCAGGATGTCAGGTTGCTCATGATAGTGTTTTATTAGTTTAGTTTAGTAGTTTTAGTAGTAATGAACTTGTCCATCATTACAATGATGATGTTTTTTTTATAGGATAGGGGGCAAACGAGCATGCGGCTCATCTGATGGTGACTACCGCCGCCTATGAACAACTGCAACATCATAAGAATTTCAGATGCGTTGCCAGCCTTTTAGATAGGAGTAGGCTCTTTTCTTGAAGATCCCTAAGTCTTATCGGTCCAGAAAAATCGCTGGTGGTAATTGATTCCAAAAGAAAGTTGTGTGGGGAAGAAAACTTCTTCTAAACCGCACAGTGGTGGACCGCCAGATGGTATGGATGGTATGGTGAGTTTTGAAATGGCACTGGAGAGCCCCTGCCCAGAGATGAGAACAGTATTCCATGTGGGGCCGAACCTGCGCCTTGTAAAATTGCAAGCGGTGTGCCGGCATGAAATACTGTCCCGCTCTGCTGAGCGCGCCAAGCTTTCTAGAGGCCAATTTGGCCTTCTCTTCCAAGTGACCACGAAACTGCACATCAGTCACCGATGATTCTTATACTGGCTGAGGCAACAAGGGGAGTGCCTTGTAACTGATGAGATACGACAAAGGGGTTCTTTTTAGCGTTAAACGCGCAAACTTGTGTCTTTTGGGGATTGAACTGGACTAGATTAAGTCGCCCCCAGTCCAAGACCGTTCAACAAGTTCTCGACTTCAGACATAAGTTTGTCCCGGTACCCGGCGACGTTTTTCCGAGAAATATTGGCACGGCCGGTGTATAAAGCATCACCAGTGCTGTCATCCGCATAGCAATAAATGTTACCGGTTTGCACGCAGCCTTGTAGAACACCAGCGTTAATGGGCTTGTAATCGGAGCATGCACCGTCTACTACGACCTTGATGTTCCGATCTGTAAGAAAACTGGTGATCAATTGCACGATTTTTCGGGAAGCCAATAGGAAGGAAGCTTCGAAAGAAGCGCTTTGTGCCAAACCCGATCGAAGGCCTTTGCTATGTCCAAACTAACGGCCAACGCGTTCCTCTTGGATTCCACTGCCTCCGCCCATCTACGAGTTAGGTAACCTAGAAGATTACCGGCTGAGTGAGATCGACGGAAACCGTACTGGCGGTCACTAATTAGCTGGTGATCCTTAAAATGCAGTTAATTATCGTTTCCATTACTTCGGAGAACAAGAGGTGATAGCGATAGGCCTGTAGTTGAACGGATCTGAGTGGTTGCGTTTTTTAGGGATGGGATGCACCAAAACTGTCTTCCATGAGTTCGGAACTACGCCTAGGGATTAGGAGTACCGGAAAATATGCGTTAAAACCGGTGCCAACTCCGGAACGCACGTCTTCAGCACAATAGGAGGGACTTCATCAGGCCTAGTCGACTTGTTGACGTCCAGAGAGAGGAGTGCCTTGCGCACCTAGCGCTGTGTAAACAACACTTCCTGCATGAAACACTTACACCAAGGGATGGTCGGCGGTGTGTTCCCCCTGTCATCGAGAGTCGAGTTGTAAGCAAAGAGAGATTTCTACTTTGCGGCATGGGCCAGTGAGTCATCCACCCTGTGCAAAAATGGCAGAGATGGCTGAGAGAAATTTCCTTGGGCAGTCTTGGCGAAAGCGTAGAATGCACGTGTTACCGAAGGGAGGTGAACTAGTTTCTCACCATTTCTGCCGATTTGCTCTGACTTTGTCTTGGCAATGACATTTTCCAGGACCTGTAGGCGGAATTATAGTTCTTCTTAAGAGCGCTGGTGCTTACATTCCGGGACGTTTATGTATCAACCCAGGCCCGGTAGCACTCCTGCTTATAACGTGACGCAATTACAGGAGTGACCAAACCATGGCTGAGTTCTGCCTCAGATATGCACCACAGATGATGGAATATATAATTCCATACCCTGAAGTACCACATCAGCGACAGAATCAGTAACAACGTTGGAAGCATCCGGCGAGAAGCTAACCGACCTCCATGGGTAGGATGCAAAAAAAAAGACCGCATCCTATCCCTATCGGCCGACCTATAGTGCCAAACACGGCGGCAAGCTGCAGATCGCAACTGCGCTGGGAGCGTGAGTGGCACCGTACTCCGGATCAGACAATGGTCCTAAGAGCCAAGACAGAGACCTGATATCCGTCGGGATGAGAGGTCAACAGAAGGTCCAACAGGGAAGGTAAATGATCCTCCACATCTGATATCCGCGTTGGCGAAGTAACCAGTTTTGTCAGATCATATGCCAAGGCAAAGTCATAAACAGATCTACCCTCATGATCGGTAAAACAGAAACCAAGCCATTCAGCGTGATGGGCGTTAAAATCATCGAGCTTCACAATCTCTGCGGATGGGACTTGTTGTAGCACGGAGTTTGCAGCCATTTGGACGTAGTCGATGAGTCGGTCTGTGTCGGCATTACCGCTATAGAACCTATATAGCACCCGTAGACGCGGGGATGGTCGTCGCTGTCTACGCGCAGCCATAGGATGGACAGGTCTGTACCTTCAAGACTATCTAGGTGTCGAAAACAGATGTCCCTACTGACGTACACGCAAACTCCAGCCCGGGACACAAGGGAGTGTTCTAATTTGTATCCCGGGGTAGGAGAGGTACGAAGTATCACTCGGAGGGTACACCTGTGTCTCGGTTAGAAAGAGTAAGGCCGGCTTTGCCGTCTCCAGATGGTAGTGGACGGCGTTAAGGTTTGAATGAAGTCTCCTGATATTGCAGAAATTCACGTAAAGAGTAGCAGGGGTTGCCTTTGTCTTATTGCTCAATTTGCCCACCACCACCCACGCTCAGGAAAAGTAGGGTAGCTTGTGCGTGAATGCTCAGCGAGGGATCCTCCGTCACCAGGGGTGCCGGTACCCTCCTGGGGTACTGCCCCATTCTATTTAATTTCGCTACCATGTTAAAGGGGGGGGGGGAGAGGGATTTGGTTTCCGGCCACCTGCACTTACTAGGCGAAATGCAGAAGTAAACTTCTACTTTACGCTGGTATTCTGTAGGTTCGTGGTACCACCCCGGTTCGAGCCGGCCCGTCCGTGCGACAGTAAAAGCTGCCGCGTGGCTCTACCACTAAAAGTGGCCTTTAAAGGAGATTTCACAGTTGATATTATGAATTTAATATCTACTTATTGATGAAAGTAGTAAGTATTAATATGAGTTACACAGGGCACACTGAAAGTTCTGCGTTTCTAACCGCTTAAAAATGTATGAATTTCGAATGTTACATTGTATAAAATAAATATTAAATAATTTTTGGTGAGAAGTCGCGTGTCTATTGTCTTTTTATCACAAGTTGAAGTTTGTCATTCGAAGCAAAACTGGAATTTACACGAAAAGATTTTAGGGCGATGATTTTTAATGATTTCAAAAGTAGACTCTCCGCAAGAACGCACTGCTCATTTTGAAAATGCTTTTGGAAGGAAAGCACCTCATTTGGGCACCCTAAGGTAATGGTACGCAGGATTTGATCGTGGCCGTGTTTCTCTACACGGTCGACCCTCAACTGTGATTACTGAGGAAATTGTGTCTACCGTCAGGCGACTAATTTAAAAAAATCGGCGCATCACCTATGAGGAGATTTGAGGATATTAGGGTTTTGGTAGGAGCCGAATTAAAAAAAATTACATCAATATTTCAAAAGTTAGAAAACTCTGTTGCTGCTGGATTCCTCATGAACTCACCCCAGATCAAAAACAGGCTTAAGTTGATTGGTGTAAAAAAATGTTGCTAAAGTATGACCACGGACGTTCAAATGCTTTGTGTGGACGCTCGAATGACATAGTGACAGGAGGTGAAACAAGGATATATTGTTACATTACGGATAGAGGTATAAGTGCAGTCTTCTGTGTGTGTGCTTAAAGGTGACAGTAAGCCAACAAAATTGAGGTAGACAAGAAGCATGAACAAAAAAATTATTGTTTTTTTGTTCTTTTAGATGGGTTCTGCCTGCACGATCCTATCTCCTATCCTGAGGAAAATATAGTTAATGCTGAGTGATACATCACTATTTGTTTGCTCAGTGTCTTTGAAAAAGTTAGGGAAACACGATCCAGAAGTGCCATCCTATTGCACCATGACAATGACCGATGGTCCTTTTGTTTTCAATAATGGTTTGAACAAATGAAAATGTATTCATATGTAATGGGCAATACTTTGAAAAGCAGTAAATATTTTAGTTACCATTTAAATTGTATTTATTTATGAGTTACGCAATACTTTTTGTGTGCCCCACGTATAAAGACATTAGTGCGTCCTTTAGGAAAATAAAAAAGTTCCATTTATAAATTAAGTAAGGAATAAAATTAGTACCTAAGTCTTGTCCATGGGCATTAGCATTTGCAACAATGTGTATTAGGGAGAATCCATCCCAAAGAGGTGAAGTACCAGCTGGACACTGCGGAATCATTCTTGTTTGTGAATGTACTGCAAAGTAAAAACCTCTCGATTTTGGTATCGGTGGAGGTGGTGCTGGTGCTCCTGGCGCTCCCGGTGCACCTTGTTGGCCATCGTATCCGACAAAACCAACGTTGCCTTTAATTCCTTGTAAGCCTTGCAGTCCAGGAGGTCCTTCATTCCCTGGAAAACCGATATCTCCACGCTCTCCTTTTACACCCGGTAAACCATCACGACCGAAAGCTCCAGGCATTCCATCTTGACCGCGACGTCCAGGGAACCCTTCAGGGCCAATATCTCCAAGAGGACCGGGCAATATTTCAGATGGATGAATAGTATCCCCTTTGTCTCCCCTCCTTCCTTTCAATCCTCTGAAGCCGATTATACCTTGTAAACCCTCGTCACCCCTTTCTCCTTTAAATCCTGTAGGTCCTTGTTGGCCTGAATATCCATCAAATCCAGCCTCGCCTGAATCTCCCTTTTCTCCTCTATAGCCTTCTAATCCTTGCCATCCTTGGTCACCTCTTTCTCCTTTGGGGCTATATGCTGATCCTTGATCACCGACATCTCCTACCCGGCCCGGTAATCCAGGAGTTCCCTCCATACCCCGAGGGCCAGGTTTACCTGGTGCTCCTTGTCTACCGACATTTCCATCCATGCCTTTGAAACCTTTAGGGCCTTGAAAACTTAAGCCAGGCGGCCCAGCTTCACCAATAGGACCATTTATACCATATTCACCAGGGGCACCTTTTTGACCCATCGGCCCAGGCCATCCATGTAGTCCGTCGATACCTGCTCTGCCCTTTTCCCCTCTTTCAGCGTTTATGCCATTTAATCCAGGTAAACCTGGTGGCCCTTGATCACCTATTAAACCCTTCATTCCAGGTAATCCATCATCACCCATTAGTCCTTGGAATCCAATATCACCGCGTTCACCTTTAATACCCTTAATTCCATAGAAGCCAGATTCACCTTTTTCTCCTTTCATACCAGGTATTCCATCCATTCCCATATCGCCCATGTCTCCTTTTGTAGAAGGCAAATAGGTAGTAATACCCATTTCACCCTGTTCTCCTTTAAGGCCCATTTCTCCTCTGCTTCCTGTTGGACCAGGCAACCCTTCATCTCCCGGAAGACCAGGTCTACCCATAATTCCTGGCTCACCATCCATACCTAGGTCACCTTTTGTGCCAGTTTGTCCAATCAGCCCTCTAAGTCCTCTTCTTCCCTTAATTCCGTTGAATCCATGTCTACCTGGGCGTCCAGATATCCCTGGATATCCTTTGTCACCAATTTCACCTCTAACACCGTCAAATCCGTAGTCACCTAATTCTCCTTTAGTTCCATTAAAACCAGGACGACCTGGAAAACCAGCTTCACCTTGTTCACCCTTCAAGCCTTCATATCCTCCAATTGCTAATCCAGGGTTTCCCCTATCTCCTTTAAACCCTCTTAAGCCTGGAACGCCTGGTATACCTGATAATCCGTCTAATCCCGGTTCTCCGATGTCACCTTTATTCCCACTTATTGCATTTTCACCACGCATTCCTTGCAAGCCAGTAAAACCTACATCACCTCTTTCTCCTTTCATACCGGTCAGTCCATCAAGTCCTGTTCTTCCTGGGAAACCTACATTGCCTCTCATACCTTTTGGTCCCTCCGGCCCCTGTAAACCTATCCTGCCTGGCTGTCCAGGATATCCAGGAGCTCCCGTCTCACCGCGGTCCCCAGTTTCACCGCTAGATCCGGGTTTACCCATTACTCCTGGGAACCCAGGAAATCCAACAGGACCCATATCACCAGTCCATCCTCGTGCTCCAGTTCGCCCGGCTTCTCCCTTCATTCCTTTAGGACCAACATCACCTTGCAAACCGTTAAGTCCCTGTAACCCTGGTTCTCCAATTTGGCCCATTAGTCCTGGTAAGCCTGGTCGTCCATGCAATCCAGGAGCTCCTTGAACTATTATTCCTGGTAAGCCTTTTCTTCCCTGTGAATAAAATTGACATCGTCGCATTGAATATCAAAATGTTTTTTTTATAATGAAAATACAATAATAAGATGGAACTCATATTTAATTTAAAACTAATATAGAGGATAATTATTTTATAGAATAAGGGGTGGCAAACGAGCACGCAGTCCATCTGATGGTATTAAGTGGATGCTGTGGCTGTGAAGAAAAATGTTAATATCTTTTTACATTTTCTTCGATTAAGAATAAAAAGGCATCAAAATGCAGATGCGTTGTCACCCCTGAGGACTAATATGGAATACCTCCTTTCCAGTAAAAAGGGTCTCCGATTCTCTACTCTCACAATACGAAACAGTAGCATTGAGCTGCTATTTTACCCTGGTATTTTGTGAGAGTGTGGTCCTTCTCCGGTCGAGCAGACCCCTTAGTTCTTCTGTAATATAGCTGCACCCTGGCTCTACTATATGGAGAAGTTTCTATTTGTAACTAACTTCTCTTGACTTAACTCTCTCTTCTTACGTAGAGCGTAACGCATCACAAAATCATCTGTTGGCATCAATATTATATTTATTATTATTATTAATAGCTTATTAATAGCTGATTTATTAATAGCTTACTGGTGGTCCACGTGGTCCTTCTAGGCCTACATCTCCAGGCTCTCCAGTTTGTCCCTTAATTCCAATAACACCAGCGCGACCCGGTGTACCAGGGTAACCAGGTTCGCCAACATCACCTTGTTCTCCGGGGTAACCGTCAATACCTCTTTCGCCATATAGTGTTGCAAGACCAGCTTCACCACGTGATCCTTTTTGCCCTTTATTTCCTCCAAAACCAGTAGGACCACGTTGTCCACGTGTGCCAGACTCTCCGCTTGGGCCTATTTCTCCTTTTTCACCAACAAATCCCTTTATTCCCATAGGTCCTTGTATTGATATACCTGGTGGACCTTGGTCACCTGGAATACCTCTATATCCATCGTAGCCCATGTCCCCACGCTCTCCTTTTCGACCACGGTAACCTACAAAGCACAAAATTCATTAGGTACTAGAATATTCACAGTTATTAAATGCCATAAAGCTTTTACTTATAAGAACTGTATAAGCGCTTATACAGCCTTTATACAGCCAGAATATACAGCCTCTAGTATAAAAACGAACTTGAATACAGCTCGTATACAGCTTTGATGCTGCTTGGGAAGAAACACTATTTAATAAAAATACTACCACTATTAATATATTAACATTACTTAAATTCCCTTTGACCACTATTGGTAAGATTAAAAATAGCAAGTGGTAAAATTAAAAAAAAATTCTACAACCGACTTCAATATAAATAAAATAAGAACATCATCAATGATCTCAATGATCTCAAAAACTACTGGTCAGATCTTGATAAAATTTATATGAGACCACATGTGAAGCATCAGCTTTCAAATTAAAAAAACACATAAAAACATACAGTCGAATTGAGAACCTCCTCCTTTTTTGAAGTCGGTTGAAAAATTATTGTGTTAGGAGTGATTCACGACAGTAGGCGAATGGCGGATTCAAACCTACAACCTTTTGATATCGCGGTCCGTACCCTGCCTGCCACTGTATTCTATCAGTCTCTCGCAGACTAAATCATATAGATGTATACGTTTGTCTCTTTTTAGTGTTGCCTTTTCGTTTCATACAGTTTCAAACCACAACGATGTCAAAGAAGTTTTCACTTCAATAATTAAATGATATTCTGTAAGCTTTCATTGTGTTAATACCTCAGAACAATAACTAAAGCATGTTGTTCTGAGGTAAATGCATATCCAAATGACGTTCTCCAAACCACCTTATCTCTAGAAGCTAGGAAACGTCAGTGTTGAGAAATTTTATTCGAATTTTCACTGTATACGTTTTTATTTTTGCAAATAATGCGACTAGATATTGCCAATTTTTTTATATCTAAAATATACAGACCTTTCCTGCCCGGGTATCCTGGTGGACCTCTTTCACCTTTAACATTAATGCCATTTTCTAAAGAATCTCCGACTTCTCCTTCTAAACCAGGCTCTCCGATGTCACCAGCCTCACCCCTAAAACCAACAAATATGGGTTAAAATGCGTCACAAAAAACCACACAATTAATATAAAAGGTCCATTTGATATTCGTCATGTCAAAGTAGGTAGGACTGCTCTTCTGTCTAATAGTTCTTTGGGTTCTTGCCTATTTTTTGTCGCCAAAAAGGAACGTTCCGATCTGAGCGGTAGGCTTTCGTATTAGAATGAACAAGCTAACACTCTATTTTTATAGGATAAGTGTGACAAACGAGCACGCAGTCCACCTGATGGTACGTGGATGCTGTAGGCTATAGACATTTATACTTATCCTCAATTAATAATTAAAATGCAAATACGTTATCAACCCTGAGAACTAAAATTGGATGCCTGGTTCCAGTAAAAAGGGGGCTGTGCTTAGTATTTAGAGAACACTCATACTACCTCATACTCTACCTTGGTCGAGCCGACCCATGCGTCCTACAACAATAATATACCTGCAGCGTGGCTTTACCCCTCTACCACGGATATAATGTAAAGTGGCTAATGCAGCTAATGAATATCTTGAACTAACACATAAGTTATAATCCCTGAGTGTTATGTTGAGATGCCTCATAGCCTCTATATATACTGGTTTTCTGACCCTTTAAATAAGACAGTAGATACATTGGTGTTTGACGGTAGAAAAACGTAAGACGGTGATATTTATCCTGAGCAGCCCTACTACCTTCCTAGTTTGATCTAATGAGGAATTTGTAGGATATAAATATATATATATATGTATCCTATATACACAAATCGACAGAATCTAGGGGTATTTTATATTTCATCAAATATCTAAAAATCTGGAAGAATTTTCTGATATAGTAAATAGAAGAATGATAGGTTATTTTAAGGTCTTTAATAAATAATAAAAACTTTTTGTAATTTTTTGTACCTATTAAATAAAAATGTTAATTTTTTTAAGCGCCGTAGAAAATTCGTATGATAAAAAGCTTCATTTCTCCTTATAAAACTATTACTTTTAATTAAATTTGAAAAAATCTTATAAAATCTAATTATTAATAATCAGTGTTGCCCTCCTCTTACATTAATTACACATAGACATCGATTGTACGTACTTGAAATTAAATTGTTAATGTCTATCGATCTAGCGATGTTGTCGTGGTTTAACAAACAGCGCCAGTATAATGTAGTCATCTCGAAGCCAATCGTTAAAGACAAAGCTGAATATTTTTACTTAATTAAAGGAAAAGTACTCTCCAAATAACATTTTTAATGCTGCTGAAACGGGACTTTTTTTTAAGATGTATTAGAAGCTTCTGGTAGACAATTTCCCAGCCCACCCTCTTGTAACCAAGCTTCGAAACATAGAGTTAGTATTTTACCCAGCTAATACAACCAGTATAATGCAGCCCATGGATCTGAGTGTGATTAAAAGTCTTAAGGGTCACTATAAAAGAAAATTGTTGATGGACCTGATCGAAACTGACGATAAGACCTCGATTAATATGTCACTAGCAAGTGAACTTCATAGAGTCACTTCAAGATCTACAAACATACGAAAATATAGATCAGGGCCTGGCCACAACTGCTTCACTGACTGATAAAGACATTTTTGATTCAGTGTTATAAAGTAAGTAGAAACAAATAAAGTTGAAAGATGATCAAGAGTACGATTCTGAACCACCACCAACTGTTCACCAACTGTACAAGTATTTAATGTCGCTAAACAAATAGCAAAATTCTTATTGTTGAATGAAGATGATCCCACCACAACCCAAGACAGATAAAATTCATAAGAAAATAAAAAATAAATACTGGCTAAAGTAATAAAAAAGCAAACCAACGTCAAGCAAAGGTAACGGACTATATTACGTAATTAGATTACATAATTTAATTACATGTTGAAACAAATATTAAAAAATATATTGTGATTAGTATTTGGATGTTTCTCTTTCTTCCCTTTACATAACGAAAATCCTTTAAAACGGAAAAAAGCTCCGTCTCTAGAGTTTCGTTAAAAATAATAGCTTAGCTACGACAAGTAGTGATTAAATTGATTATAAATTTCCAAAATTTAAATTTCTGAGTCTGAATCATCGTAAAAAGCCATTTCAGGTTATTTATTTAGTTAAAATCACTAATCGGTACATTAAATAACTAAGAAGAACACATTAAAATTAGACAAACAGCTTGTTTAAAAGCGGCCATTTGGACTTAAAACAAAAGATAAACTATCAAAACTATCTAGCAGTTTAAGCCCCCAATTAAAAATTAAACATCATAGCTATTATTAAAAATCCAAAAACATTTTTAAACTTAGAATTATGCTTATATATAAAATTTAAATGCCTAAGCAAATGATTTTAAGCCATAAATATGTCATGTCAATTTATTATGTTACGTATATTGTTACGAAAAGTCACTTTTAATAAACAGTTATATTATACTTTCTCGAAACGCTTTATATATACATATATAGGGCTCCACAGCTCAGTGGCTAAATAAATCGTTTGGTTGCTGTGTTGTTGCAGGGCTGAGATTCGAATCCAGCACGCATCAAGTGTTTGTACGGCCAACAAATCATGACTTATTCCGGGTCTGGATGTGCAATTTATGTATGTAAAACCCCTCCACCATATAGAAGACATCCTACTGTGAAGGCAACGCTTAAAATACAAAAGAGAACAAAAAGAAAACTCAAAGGTGTTACAAATGAGAAATGTATGAGTAACGCTTCAGTCTCTTTTTAAAGGTAGATATTGCACACTTATTTAAACTTGAGAAAATAAATAAAATTTTTAATAACAATTATTAAATTTTACTTCAGTCCTGGTTCTCCTTTTTCTCCTCGTAGGAACGAGATTGGTATGTCAGCAGGTGCACCCGGCCAACCAGGTGCTCCGTCTCGTCCTCGTGACCCATTACGACCAGGAAGTCCGGGAAGACCGAAATCTCCCATTCTTCCCTTAATACCCATTGGGCCAAAATCACCCCGATATCCAGGCCATCCTGCATCACCGGTTAGACCTTGCTCGCCAATGAAACCTGTTGATTTTATGTTAATTAATAATTGTCAGATTGCACATTTATTATGCCTGAAATTAATTCAGTTATAAATAACAATGGTATGGTTTAAAATAAAGCACTAATTTGCCATTACATTCTGTAGGTAAGATGATATAATGATTTTAGTCTATGGATTTCGGTCAACGTCATTAATGCCAAAATTTGAACATAGCAAAAATACAATCAATGGAGTAATTGAGGATTTATATAGGTAATATAATAAAGTATTAGGTGTCCGAAAATCAATTTTTATCTCGCATAAATGTCGAATTTTAAAGAAAACACAGAATTATATAGAAACTATAGGAAGTAGGTATATCTTTTTATTTATTCATTAATTATAGCCTATCAAAGTCTACTGGTAAACATATTCATCTAGGGTTGCCATCTCCTAAAATGAAAAAGCCGCACTCGGCGCCCCAAAAGCCGGACTTTTGGCCATAAAAGCCGGACAGTAATTTTTAGCCAAACATACATTTCTGAGGCTAAGCAAGCCAAAAAACTCACCAACTTCAACCACCCGAGAAAAAAAAAACTAAAATACTCCGTTACATACGTTAATTGTTTATTAATTAATCACGGCACAGTTTCAAGTGTATACGTTACTTATTTATTTATTCTGCAAGCGATGCGTGCAACGCGTTACACTAACAAAAAGCCTAATAAAAGCCGGACAGGCCGGACACATAAAAATTTGGCCGGACACAACCCGAAAAAGCCAAACATGTCCGGCTAAAGCCGGACCGATGGCGACCCTATATGCATCCCTATAGATTGCCCCCATATTTGTAATGGTTACCACGCTTCGCAGGCAGCTTGGCAACTGAAGTGTATCTAGGAGTATGTTTTTACAGGTCTATATCTATGACAGATGATTTATCGCATTTCAGTCCGAGACATATATAAGAATCGCTGATAAAATTACTTGGTTTTCATTTTGGACTCTTAATCAAGCAAGCAAGAATACGCCAACTTTTTCGACAAATGCTAAGCTCACCTACACGTGGTGCACTCTGCTGATTTGGTTTCGAATGAGGTTAAAGCGACCGAATTATGGAAATTTCATAGATTGATAATGAGAGCGGCTTTAGCAGGGCTGGGTTTTGGCGCTGAGTTCATCAACCAGCGTGGTTAGCATGGGTAAATTTCCTAAGGAATGTTTGCTAGTGCAGCATTGGATTTAAAACTATTGTATGAGTGATGAAACAAAAGTAGATTTCAAGGATATTATGTTACCTCTATCTCCAGGCGGGCCGCGTTCTGCTAAAGTCAAGTCGAGCGGTGGTCGTATGAGTCGCCCTTTTTGGCCTTTAAGACCTTGCGGTCCAGCCATACCTGATTGACCTTTATTACCCTTTGGACCTTTTGGACCTGGAATACCAGAAGTACCAGGAAAACCCATTTGACCGCGTGGTCCTGGCAATCCCTCAAATCCTGGATATCCCTTTTGTCCTGGAAAACCGTCATCACCTCTTTTTCCTTTAGGTCCAGGTAAACCTGTAATAAACACAATAAAATTTTAATATAATGAACACAATAATATCTAGAACTTTTTCTATGATGACATTACTGTCATAAATATACCCCTAACTCTATTTTAATTAATTTATATGAGACCCATCCCGAAGTAACTATGAAACTAACCGTGTATATTCCTTGCGGTTATTTTTCAAAGAGCAGCCGTATTTGAAACTTAAATTAAAATTTATAAATAACTAGCTGTTCCCCGCGACTTCGTTCGCGTGTTAGGGTTTTTATGTTTCTGCGCGGAACCCTGATTCTTTTTCTAAAATAAAAGTAACCTATGTTACTCCTTATGAAATCAGCTATCTGCCAGTGAAGGACCCGTCAAAATCGGTCCAGCCGTTTCGGAGATTACCCGGAACAAACAGACAGACAGACAGACAGACAAAAATTTTAAAAATTGTATTTTAGTTATAGGTATCGTATTTACTTTCATATGCATTTAGTAAAAAACTGTAATTTTGACATTACAAACAGACACTTCAATTTTATTTATTTGTATAGATGATATACCCTTATTGCAGTTTTTGAAGTATAGTAAGAATACGAGTAAATAAGACTTCTACTTTTATTTGAAACTAAGTAGCCGCTATTTGATACCCGTGACATCGTCCACGTTGCTTACATATCACTGAACACGTAGTGCATAACAAACAACGATTTTTATAAAAAAATGTTGTTTTTTAAAACTTTAATAACATTAAATTAAATGAAGATATCACGATATTTTTTTTTTAGATTAAGTCCAAGTGTTTAAGAAATAAAACTTAGAAAACCTAATTCAAATATATCTAGCAGTTTTTCCGTGATTCGTGCACAACTGCAAATCTCTGTCATTTTATTTATATAGATTATCCCAAGTTTTTACCTACCGATTGACCCTCTCGAATGGGTCCGTACGCAGTAAAGTCAGTTAAAATAATGCATTACCATGCATTTTCAATTAAAAAGAAAAAAAAAAACTGAATGTTTGAAATTATTTTAATAGTTTTTTCTTCATCATTGCCTATATTACTTATTCTGAACCTTCTTTGCAAATTTAGCCGGTTATAGCAAAATAACTCTATACTTCTCGTTTTTTTAGCTCAGTTATTTTCCTGGCAAAGTAGGCCAAAACAACTTTTCTGTGATTAAAATTTTTCCAAGACAAATTTCAAAGATTTCAGATTATTTGTTACTGAAGAAAGAACACAATCTAAAGTACCTATTATAACAACAAAACAGATGTTGATGTTTTCCAAAAGTTATAAACTTTTTGTTATCTTTGTCATATAAAAAAGTTATTTAGAACGATGATGATCACCAACTTAGGTACCACCACTTAACGATAGGCTTAAAATGTTTGTGTTAAGAGTGGTTCATGGCTGTAGTCGAAAGGTAGATTCGAACCGACGACTTTTTGAGTTCGCGGTTCGCACACCGCACCTACCTTATTTTTTATTACTAGGTTCCTATTGCTCCTATAGTTCGCATGCGTAACGTGAAATTACGGCGAGCGCTTATCCCTGACCTTTTTTAACTTATTTTATGCATTAATGTAACTTATATTAATATAAAAAAAATCTATACAAATAAATAAAATTGAAGTGTTTGTAAATTGTTGTGTAGTTGTTTGTAAAATAACAGCTTTTTACTCAATGCATATGAATGTATATACGGTACTTATAACAAAAACACAATTTTTTAAATTTTTGTCTGTCTGTCGGTCTGTCAGTCTGTCTGTCTGTTTGTTCCGACTAATCTCCGAAACGGCTGGACCGATTTCGACGGGACTTTCAGTAGCAGATAACCGATGTTTTAAGGAGTAACTTAGGCTACTTATATTTGAGAAAAAGAATTAGGGTTCTGAGTAATATAATTAAAACCCTCAATTACACGCGGGCGATGTCGCGGCGCACAGCTAGTCTAAAATAAAATTTGGAAATGTTTAAAGGATAAGGTAATAGAGATAAATAACTTAACATGCTAACCTGATCTACAGAAAGGACAGTCATCGCCCCTTTGGCCTTTCGGTCCAGGGTATCCTGGTCGCCCAGGTTCACCTGAATCGCCCTCAGTACCAGGTGGCCCTGGTGGCCCGTCTTCTCCCTGTGGTCCCATTCCGTGCACTCCACGACCAGGATATCCTGGTGGTCCCAAAAATCCAGGTTCACCTCTGTCTCCACGTTGTCCGGGTATACCATCAGTACCTGGCATACCATCTTCGCCATCAGGGCCTCTAACTGTTGATCCCTTAAATCCTTTGGGACCCAAAGTTCCCGGCAAGCCTGGAAAACCTGGCTGACCTCGAGGTCCAGGTAGACCTTTGAAACCATCGCTTCCTGGCTCTCCCTTAGGAGAAACTCCTGGATTTCCTAATCTACCTGGAAATCCTTTTATACCGGGTAAACCAGGTAGCCCCATAATTCCAGGCAACCCTGGCAGTCCATCAACTCCAGGAGCTCCTATTGGCCCCATATAACCAATAGGACCTTGTGGTCCAGGTGCACCAGGTAGCAGAGGTTCATTTAATCTTTCATCGAATATTCCTGGCTCTCCCATAGGTCCCTGTTCACCAGGAATTCCAGGTCTACCATCTTCTCCCAATGGTCCATGTAACCCGTCCTCTCCATCAAAACCAGCATAGCCAGGCGCTCCTTTATCGCCTTTAGGACCCGGAGGACCATCCTTTCCTCTACGACCAGGCTTTCCTCTTGGGCCATCTTCTCCTTGATCTCCTTTGTATCCTTGTGGACCGTTTAGCCCATAAGGGCCCTAAAATAAACAAGTTACTTTTTTTTAATTATAAGATATTTAGTTCTCAGTTTATATCTATAAAATATTATTATTCTTAATCACCACGATCGTCATGCGAATTGGCGATGGAAGTACCAGAGGCCTCGCATCTTTGAAGCCGCTCCCTGTCTCCGATATGGATATTTTGCGTCTGGCGTAAACGTCATTAATTAGTCATCGTCTCTTACTGCTTATTTTTTTAAATTACTATTAATTACTAATTCCCGACTAATTACTATTATTCGAGAAGGGACGCCCTAGACGAAGGTGCGTGTGCGTGTGCGTGTGCGTGTGCGCGTGCGCGTGCGCGTGCGCGAGTGCGAGTGCGTGTGCGCGTGCGCGTGTGCGTGTGCGTGTGCGTGTGCGTGTGCGTGTGCGTGTTTGTGTGCGTGTGCGTGTGCGTGTGTGTGTGCGTGTGCGTGTGCTAGTTCGTGTGTGTGCGTGTGCCTGTGCGTGGGCGTGTGCGTGCGCGCGCGCGCGTGTGTGTGTGTGTGTGTGTGTGTGTGTGTGTGTATTAAGCCCTAGTAAATACATTTCCACCTAGGAGCCCGTTTAAGTTGGTACCAATCTAATTCTGCTGCCGAGTAGCAATGCATGCACTATTGTAATCCGGTTTGGAAGACAAAAGAGCTAGTATGATTACAGACTAATAGTAAAGAGATACAATTTTTATGCTCAACAGGAACGGCAACGGGTTCATGTGATCATTTACCATCGGTGGTGTTTGGTGGACTGTTAGATTATTATTATCAGCCATATTAAAAAACAAAACGGAAATAAATGTCAAACTTACCATTGGACCTCTAGAACCTATTTCTCCTTTTATTCCTTTCACGCCTTGCATTCCTTTAAATCCTTTCTCACCCTTGTCTCCTCTAGCTATTATGCTAAGATTGTGTTTAAAAGTATCAATGTTGACGATTGTCGCTGGTCTTCCGGGTTCGCCAACTTCGCCTTGATCTCCTTTTATACCCGGAGGCCCAACAACATCGTCACCTGGATCGCCTCTGTAACCTGGTTCACCTTTAATACCCATTTGACCCTAAAATAACAAATCGCAATTAAATACCGTGTTTACATTAGTTTAATATATGTTTATAGTATATTTTATAAAAGTTTACCTCATCACCTTCTTCACCACGAAGACCACTGTCGCCTCGCCAGCCCATTGGACCTGGAGCTCCTGGCGATCCATGACGACCATAGTCTCCTTGATCTCCTTTTGCACCTCTGGAGTTAACACCTCCTTCACCGGCTAACCCTTGAGAGCCTTTCTCTCCATATGGCCCCGGTAGACCTCTATCACCAGGAGGACCTTGCCTTCCAATTGGTCCTACGGCACCGTCTACACCACTGCATCCGTCAAATCCAGGTAAACCTCGTACACCTTCTGGCCCGTGAGGTCCCTGACGATTAATAATACATGTTAATTAAAATTTAGATATCTATTATTTAAAAAAGTGTGTGTACTTATGTATGCACGTAGGAAGTTATACTTCTTTAGCGTAACAAAACAAAAAAACTTGAGAGACAATTACCTACTGAAGTTGTCGCTTTTAGGTGTCAGTGTGATCATCGTATCAATCATCGTATCACGCATCGTAAAAATTCACTCTCATCATTTTTCCCAAACGCCCAAAAAGAAGCAGAACTTCAAAAATATACATATATTTCTGATAAATATGATTGGAACGATATGTTTTATTTTGGAAAGTGGTATACTTTCTAGCTAGTCTAATATTCTTTTTTTGTGCTAGCTAGCAGTTGCCGCTGCTGGACACGGGACTCACCTGTTGTAGTAAGGATTTGCCATAATCACACTGTTTAGCACCATCTGGTGCTGCAATGGCTTATATGTCATTAGCGCTTGCAGCACCTAATGTGCCTAATGTACCATCTTTGACGTTACTTCCGTCCTCCCGACGTCCACTGAAGTGTACAAGGTCTCTCGGGCGTTTCCCTTAATCGACTTTAATGACACCCAAATGATGAATTGTGGCCATAGATTATCACATGCCACCAGCGCCACCATACAGCAAAACCCATTTATTTATTCATAACTTATCTAATTCAAAATAAGGAACGAAACTTTCCAACGACAGTTACTACACGCAACTTACTTTCCGTTCTATAAAATAGTGTTACTATTTTGTGGAGAAAACACAATGTTCTTGTTTGCTTATTTATTTTTAAATAGTTAGAATGGACAAAATATTACCTGGGGTCCCGTATATCCTCTGGCTCCATACATTCCTTCCAAACCCTGTAAATATATTTAAAAGATACATAAAAAAAATCTAGAAATATCAGAAACAAATCGAAGTTATTAGTGCTTTTGAATTTACCCGTTCGCCTTTGTCGCCACTGTCACCTCGCTCACCCCAGTCACCTGGTTCACCTTGTATGCCAATCCGTCCTTCAGGTCCATCGTCACCATAATCACCCTGTAGACCAATGACTCCGGGAGGACCTGGATCTCCTCGATCTCCTTTTAAACCGGCACAGTCGCATACAGTTTGATTACATATAACCTACGACAAAAATAAAACATAAGATCAATGTGTTCACTTAATAGTATATTGATAAAAGTTAGTAATTAATTTTATTAATTGACTGCTTGCTTGATAACAATGTTGCGGGACGGTTTGTCAATGTACTGTCGATATTTTATATTACGAGTATATTTTTACTAAGCTTTTATAGGTTTTGTTTTTGTTTTGTTTTTTTTTTTATACTTTACCCCACATTAGGATTTACTCCTGTATCGTGGAGGCAGTTTACAAACATAAATTGCACAAGGACAAACATCCAGACCCGGAATATTTGTAGGCCATATAAATACTTGTTCCGTGCGGGATTCGAACCCGCAGCCCCAAGCGCTGGAACTCATTGTTAAGCCACTGCGCCACGAAGCCGTCAATTTATAGGGTGTGATAGAGAAGCAATAAATTTAATTTATTACATTTATTTAACTTGAAATAAGAGGATGCCTGTGCTCATGTTCAGATGTGTCATGTTCAGAACATTAATTCGTTATTTTAATTGTAATTTGTATTAAAACACTGGTCGGCAGTGATTTGAAAAATTTCTCCTCCACGCTAGAAATTCCCTAGTATGAAGGGATTAAAAAAATTTTTGTTCCGTGGGTAGCGTTCAAACAAGCGCTTGACCACTGCGCCGTCATGTTGTTGATAAGGAAGAGGACCTAATATTATTCTATGCTATTCTATTCTATTCTATATATTTCTATATATTTGGAAACTGATTGGTTTTGCAAGGCTTGGCACTAGACTTTTAAATTATCGTCAGATTCAAATTATACTTTTATACTATTGATATTTTACTATTTAAAATAGAAAATTGCACAATTTTGAAAATAATGCTAATTATATTTAAAGTGTCGAGTAAATTTACTAAAAGTTGTTTTATCTTTCCAATAACACCTATTATGGGACATCCTTATATGTAATTATTGGTAACAATATATTTTTGTAGACTTCAGCAGTTACGATGGCATTTAATTAGAGAAAATTACAACCAGAAAGTTGTTACTTCGTAGTAAGTTGTAAGTAACTTACAACCAGAAACAGGAAAAAGCATCCCCAATCCACACTGTGATCTCTCACATTGGCGTGAAATCTATTGCGGTGGCTGTGTAGGACGTATAATTGTATGCTTATGTTTACTTCACATATCATAAAAAAAACCTCAGTGTGAGCAAAGGCATTTTTTTAAATTGGGTTTTTAAGCTGTGTATTTCATCATGTAATGCTTTGATTGGAAGCGTTAACTGTAGGTAATATAATGTGCGTGCCTTATCGCAGGACCTCTGACATACATACAGCGACCAGAGCAAGCTGAAGACCAGCACACTTCCTACTTTTTAGTAGAGCATGTAATATTTATTTTTTTCTTCATACGTACACATTACTTTTACATTTTTAAGGTTGCTAAGGTGCCATGTTAAATATACTGAACTCAATCTCTAACTTAAGTGTAGTCGACGTATTAAAAAGGCACAAAGCCGAATAGTTAAATTTGTTTTGCAAATAAAACTACATAGTTTGTCAGATTTCTATGAATTCAAGAATGATCAAATATGAGAGCAATCGTAGCTCAAATGGTTACCGCTCACTGTAAACTTCACAGTACGCGAGCAACCTGGGTTCGATCCCCGCCAGTACCAATGATATTGTTAATTGCATTTTTAAGTCCTGATTTACCACGTGCCCGCGCGGTGAAGGAAAACATCGTGAGGAAACCTGCATGTCTGAGAAATAAGAAAAAATATTTCAAGATTTCCCATTCTGAAGTCGGGTCTTCAATTCTTCATAAAAACTCCTTCATAATGTAAAATTTAATTTGAGCTCTTAGTCTGCTTTTGCTTTTTATTAATTTAATTTCGTTATTTTTTGTTATTATATAATTGTATAATATAATTCCATCGTTATGTTTGTTTTTAAATTACAATCTAATTTCTGTTGTGTGTTTACGGATATAAATGAACACATGTACAAGCACTTGCCTTGTGTGAATCGAACTCATCACTTACAAGGCACGTGCTAACGTATTGTCACTGTCCTACTGAGCCGTTAATTGATTCATTGTAAAAAATTAACTAATGCACATGTTTATTTACGTGGGGTTGCTCTCGTACTGTAAAAAAATGCTGCGTGCCCAGGAGGTAACACGGTTCTAATGACAAATATAAACAAGTGCGAAATGTATGGTCAACGAACTAAGTTATATTACAGAAGCTATTTTATGTACTATTTTATTTTATGTGCTATTTTGTGTACTAACTATTGTATGAGCACAGGCAAGCCCATATCACAGTTTTTTTTTAATTAATTTAGATTTTAGGCATTAGTAGTAAAGTCAAACGAAAATAAATTTGAAGTAACTGAGAGAATCACAGGCAAAGACATGCTTTCATTTGTTTGAAAAAAATTATAATGATTAATAGAGGATGCCTCATGGTGTTAAGTCCGCCCTTTGTATTATTTTGTTATATGGAATGAAAGAAAGAATAAATAAATAATACACGCTGATTTGTAGAGTACCGTTAAATCTATTTGCAACTATTAGGGTGACAAAAATAAAATTAATGACAAATGCAGATTCATTTAATGACTTATGCCAACACTGAGAGCAATTACTTTGCCGTATTTAATCGTCGCGCTTGAAATGTATTTCGCAGCTCGGTGTCAGTAGAATGATGTCAGCACAAAATTACATCATTCTTTCGTACGTTCTTCTACAAACTAGATTTGATAGAGCTGCTATAGCAAATTTATTTATAATTTATTTCAGTGAAAGGGTAAATTCAGGTCTTAAAGGCACGGCTTTTTTATCCTAGGTCAACAGCGAAATGGATTTATATTGCACCCATGGTTTTTGTTAGTGACAATAATTTGGTTTCGGTTAATAATTTCACCAAATCTTCGGTTCGGTGGAAATTAGTTTTCACGAGCTGCCGGAACGATTCAGGCCCTATCCGGAACAAATAAGTACATTTGTCTATACCGCCTGTGTTTCAGTCCGCCGATCGGCGTGAATATATGTTACAAGATGAAACCGAAATGTAGTCCTTCATTGATGAGATATTTTTTTTGAAAATGGGTGACAAACGAGCACACAGTCCACCTGATGGTTAGTGGATGCTGTGGCCCTTAGATATTTAAATAGGTCTGTAATCGATTAAGAAGATGCATTATCATCCCTGAGGACTAAGATGGAATGCCTTGTTCCAGTAAAAAGGGGTCTCCGGTTCTCTCCACTCATCATACAAATCACAGCAACATTTAACTGCTATTTTACGCTGTTATTCTGTGAAAGCGTGGTCATTCCCGGGTCGAGTCAACCCATTCGTGCTACAACTATAATATAATTTCAGCATGTCTCTACCACGTCAAAAACTTGGCACTTTTACATTTAAATGGACTAACGTTACCAAGTATCCTTCTCCGATTTCAATGATGAGATATGTTGTTGTTTTTGTTGAAATATAAAAGACACGACAAGATTAAGTCCCTATCCTGAGCCGTGGTAGCTTAGGGACTTACTTACTTAGCCCTTGCTGTAAATTTCACAGTACGTTAGCAACTCGGGTACGATCTCGCCGGCACTAATGAAATAGTTAATTGAAATTTAGTGCTGATTTGCCAGGTGCTCGGCGGAGAAGTAAAACTTTGTGAGGGAATCTGCATGTCTCAGAACATGTGAAGTCCTAGCCATGGATTCCTCTCAGAAATTAGAGGAGGCCGGAGGCGTCAGCAGCAGTGGGTCGTAAGGCAGTAGTAACTTTGTCTAACTTTACTTTAGGTTATCGGAGATCGTGATAATATATTAAAATTATCTGAAAATATTATTAATAAAATCAAAGTGTGAGGTACGTTACAACATGTAAGCAGAAATGTTAGACGAAACAAGTCTTATTTGTTACGTGCTAGGTACTTGGAATGTGGCGACATAAGACACCATTGCCTTTTATTAAAAGCGCAGTTGAAACAATATCAATTTGCAGTTGCCGACGAGAGATGTCTAAATTTGCATGACGATGAAATCTAATAGAATTGCACCAGTTGGTAGCTCTATAATTTTTATCGTTACCTTCAAACTATATTTAAAATAAAACTAGTTCAAGAATAATATGTATTACCAATAGAACAATACTCGTATCTGCTCGTATTATAAATTTTGGATTGTAATAATTTTTGTTCTTTTATCATTATAATTAATATTAATATATTAGGACCGATGACAGTCAGGAATTCGATTTAATTTCATCGAATACAGGCCGTGCAGGTACTGATTTGTAATTTTAAAATAATAATTTAAAATTAAAAATTTTGCACAACCGACTTCAATGTAATTAATATAATAAAAAAAAGAATTATCGAAATCGGTTCACCTAGAGAAACATTATAAGGTAACACACATAAAAAAGAACATACAGTCGAATTGAATACCTCTTCCTTTTTGAAGTCGGTACAAAGGATGAAATTTATCGTCTTTTTCTTGCACCTGTATACTAGTTTGATCAATAAGATTTTGGAAAGGCGATGAAACTAGGATAAGTATATGTAAACTGTATTTATTTTTGAACGTAATTGCCTTTTAAGCTAATACCCATTGAATAACGTTTTGTAAGTTGGTTTATTCTCTTGAAAAAAAAAACCTGACCCTGGGTCTCGAAAAAGGCCTCTACAGCACGCATCATATTTTCGACGAAAAAACACGCAATTTTCCTCGACGTTTATACTTTAGTTCTTCGCGTAGTTTTGTTGATTAATGATGCGTAAGAATATCCGGTTATTGTATCTCCTTTACTTAAATAGTCGATCATTATTATACCTTCCGCATCCCAGAAGACAGAGGCTAGTATTTTAGCAGCGGACGCAGACACCTTGAATCTCTTCTCTGGCGGGGAAGACGGCCTTTTCCATACCTTGCTTTGGTTTTTCGTCTCCGGGACAAAAATGTGTACTCACGTTTCATCTACGAATACGAAACGACCGCAAACAGAATC